CAAACACGCATCCACACCCTCAAAGCGTTTTCATAATGACTCCTTCCCACCACGAGAAGAGCAGACACAATTTTCCAAAGAGGGAAAGGAGATACAGGGTCATGGTAGCTGATAAAACACCCTGTGCAGGAAGATAATTCTCTGGTTAAGTCCTTCTTACACCATTCACACCTCCCACACAAATGGTGCACGTACCAATTTTTAGGACACGGCAGTGCCCTGGGCACAGGAGGTCAGGGCTCAGCCCCACACCCATCACCCACCATTTCCCTGCCACCCTACTTGCCAAAGGACCCCAGCAGGAGGGCTGCCAGCACAACTTTCCTGAAGTCAGCCTAAGCAACATACTGTTCTTTGTTGCTGTTCTGCCAGGCTTTGCCAAGCTACCTGTCAAACCCCTCTACAAAGCTCACACAACCCCGTGTTTGAGCACTGTGAGGTGGCTGCTGCTGTCCAAGATCCCTGGCCAGCACCCAGCCATCTCAGATGTGACACCTTCAGAGGCAGCCTGCTGCAGATCATTTCCGTCCCCATTCACGCCAGCGCTCCCTGCAGCCCATGTGTGGGGCTTTCCAGCTCTCTCCTGTGTCCTCCCTAACCCCTCCCTGGGGATCACGGCCATGCTGTGCTCAGATCCTCCATTACAAGACACCCCTTCCTCAAGACTTCATCCTTTATCATCTTCATATGACAGCTGTTCTGTGGCAGCAGTTGGTTTCTGCAAGCCTGCTTCACCCTCACACTCCTTTCTCCCCTTCATCACTTCTTTCCCACTTCAGTCTTTCTCTAGAGATTTGGGAGCCCAGAACTCTCCAGCATGGGCATAGGTAAGAGCAGAAGAGTGACCAAAACCCTGAAATGAAAAGCAGGTTCCTGGGGTAGCGATGCAGCCTGAGCTGAGGGCAGCAGGCACTGGGAGGCAGCATCTGTGTCACCACCACTGCCCTAGAGGGCTTGGTGACAACAAGACCCCGCGTGCCAGCTGTGTGACACCAATGCAGCCACCCCCGAGGGCTCCTCTGGCTCCAGCACCACTCTGGCCTCAGGTGCAGGGAAAGCTGTGTTAACTGCTGCTGAGACACAAGAGGAGAGCGGATGCCCTCAGTCAGAAAATGGACATTTTTGGAGACATAACAGGGCACGAATATTACCAAAGTACCAAATAGTACCTAAGAATGATTACGGTCCCATCAGCACTCTGCCTATGTTACTGCTGCCCAGAAATCCACCCAAGATGTGATCACCGTGCTGCAATAAGCCATCTTTTTACATAACTCAGCATTAATGATCCAACATACGGAGCCCATGAGGCTATGACAGATGTCAGGCCAAGAGTGATCGCGGCAAATGAATATTCCAGTTACAAACACAAGAAAAAAAACCAAAACACTGCAGACGTCTGCAGCAGAACTTTTTGGAGCAGAGCAGCCCCAGCCCAGCTGCAGCCTGGAGCAGCCTGCCCAGCCCTCACCACCACAGCACTGCCTGCAGCCACGGACACACGGATCCCCCCTGGAGAACAGAACATCACCAGAGGCTGAGGGAACACTTCGTCTTCCTCCCAGCATGGTGCAATAACATCAGTGTGCCCAAATTATACACAAGCGGAAAGGTAATTGGCACTGAGCAGAGCGTGTTGTGACTGTTACATCATTCTTCAAAGCCAGCTACAAAAGACTGAAATGCGAGAAAATAAACAATGGCACCGAGTCAGTAGGCAGCCCCTCCCCAGTGCCCTCCGCCCAGCAGCGCTGCACCACGCAGGGTGAGCACGGAGCACCCAGCGCCCGCGGGGCTCAAGGTCCAACAGAGTGACCTCCGGGGAAAGTAAGGAAGTGCGGCTCTCGCGGTCACAGGTTCGTTTTCAGAAAGCTTGTGTTGTGTTTTTAATTAACTCTGCCTTACGCGGAGACTTGCACATCACAAAATGGTGCCTGTAAGGACGAGCACCAGAAGGCTGCAGGAGCTCTGTGTGTCAGCAGCAGCTCGGTGGGCATTGCAGTGCCTGGGCTGGGCATGGGAAGGGACCGGCAACGGCCAGAGTCACAGACTGGCACTGCGATGAACGCACTCACAAACTGAAGTTATCACGAAATGATGGATACCAGTTAACACTTCGCTACTGACATCAAATGCTCTATTTCTACAGCACAGAGAAGGCCCCACACACGGCAGCACTCCTCCTTCCACCACACTGCAGACGTCTGCGATGCTTCAGGGAGCGCCGACTGCCCACAACAAGCCCAGCTGTAATAAAAATAAACGTGGAGCTGATATTTGGCGCTTAGCGGTCCCAGCAGGCGTTGGGCATTCTACTCTAACACCAACATACAGCGCTGCGCTTTGACGCCTTCGTTCCGCAGAGCCTTGCATAACGACGATGTCCCCTGGAACCGCTGCCTGCCGCACGCCGAGGTGCCTTACATAAGACCCGCAAGATCAGGGCCTCCTGACCGGCGCGCAAATCGATCCGAGCCTTTCCAAGAGAGATGCTGAGGAACCTACACAGAAACGAACCAGATTTCCCCTCGGACCGCCGCTCCCACCCGCGGCCCCCGCCCCGCTCCGCACTCCGCCCGGCGCCGGGCACCTGCCGAGCAGCGCCGGGAGCTCCGCCGCGCCCCGACGGACGCCCGCAGACACCGGCGGCTGCCGGGGCCGACCGAGGGAGCCTCAGCAGCGCCAGCGGGGACCGCGGCCGGCCGGCCCGGCCCCCCCCGCGCCCCCCGGCCCGGCCCCGCCCGGCGCTGCCCCCGGCCCCGCGCTCACTCCGCACCGCCTCCGACCCCGCACACAAAGGCGCGGCCCCGCCGCTCACCCTTCACTTGCGCATCGTACTCCGCGATGATCTCTTTGTCCTTCTTGGACTTGCCCTGCGAGGACATCTTTCGGGAGGGCGCGGGCGAGCGCTCCGCCGCGCCGCCTCACCCGGCCGCGGGCCGCATTGGCGGGGCCGGGACACCGCGCAGCGCCGCCGGCCGCAGAGCGGAGCGGAGCCCAGCCCAACCCGGCCCAGCCCAGCTCGGCTCCGCCCGCCCGGCAGCCCCGCCCCGCCGCGCCGAGGCCGGCCCGTGCCGCTCCCGCGCTCAGGTTGCGGGCGGGCCGGCCGCGCCCCTCCCCCGGCGGACGGAGCGACTCGCGGCTCCGAGGAGCGGCGAACGGGGCGGGGCCGCCGGGGGGGCGGGGCGGGTGCGGCTCTCGGCCCCGCGCGGCCGGGCCCTCGCGGCTCCGGAGGCCGCGGGTCTGGCGTCGGGGAGCTGCCGGGCTGGCGGGGCCGCGGCGCTGGGTACGGGAAGAGCGGCGGCGGCGGGAGCGGCGCGGGGCTCTGCCCGTGGCAACGCCGCGCTTACGGGCGGCTGCGGGCCGGCGGGCCGCCAGACAACGTGCAGAAAGTAGCGGAGGTGTGGGGGGGCTGCCAGGCGCGTTTTCCCCAAAGGCTGCTCGGCTCCCACCGGTTTACCTTCTGCCTGGGGCGGTCTTTAGAAAACTGCATCGGGAGAGCGCCCCGAACGCAGCCGGTGCCGCCGCCCAGCAAAGCGCGGCGCAGCTCCCCGCCTCCTCAGGGCGAGGCGCCTGCCCGTACGTGGCCCTGGCCGAGCAGAGCCGCTGTCAGGGGCTGAGGAGCAGCTGCCTGTGGCACAAGGACACGGCAGATCCCCGAGTGGCTCCCGCTGCTCCCTGTGCCGCGCTCCCAGCCCATCAAACCGGGCCTCCGCACGCCTTCCTGGTCCCAGCTGAGCTCAGGCTGCTGCTCTGCACAATGAATCCTTTTGTTGGTGTCTCTCTGAAGCCCAATGAATGCAAGGGGATGTAATGATTCACAGTTATTCTGCCAACTTACAAAGAATAAACCAAGCCTGTTAAACAAATAATTTACCTAGCCTCAGCCTGCAACACAGAAGAGCATTCTGAGCTTCAAGCAGCCACAAGAAGGGCCAAAGAGCAGCCAGAGGCCGCAGCACTGCTGCAGAAGAAGCACCCTGCATGGTGCCGAGGGCAAGTGGTGAGGTGCACAGCAGCCACACGTCCCCACAGCTCCAGCAGGGCCAGAGGAGCTCAGCTGCAGCACAGAGGCAGAGCAAGCTGTGCTGGGACCTGGTGCACGTAGGGATATGGAGCACAGGGCTCCCGAGGGGATCTGCCCCCGTGGGATGTGTGGGAGCCCTGGAGAGGAGCTGAGCAGGGCTGGGATCTGTTCTAGGGAGCTGGCTGCGGAAAAGGAGAAAGTAACAGCTCACAGTGATTGGAGAGGAGCGCAGCAAATCACCTGTCAAAGGTTCAGGAGGTAAACTCAGACTGTCACAGAACTTGCACAATGTCCCTGTTGATGTGCTGCTGCTCAGCACCCTCCAGACTGCGTCTGTCGCTCCCGGCGCACAGGTTGGGCAGTACGTTTGGCCCTGCACCAAAGCACAGGGTTGGCAGAGCCCCTCCGGTGGGAGAAAGGGATGGTGGCAAGGGCTGTGCCAGGCGGCAGTGCTGCGGCTCCCTGTGCCAGGGCAGGACGAGGTGCTTGGGAACACGGTGCACATCCCAGCCCTCACAGCGCAGCACCGGGGGCCGCCTGCAGCGCTGCTCATGGACAAGCAGAAGCCTGCAGCTGTGTGAGCAACATCTGCGGCCCTACTGGCAGGGGGACTGCCCGAGGGCTGCGGCTCGGGGTGTGAGCCGGGCTCAGGGTTTGCCTCCTGGAAAAAGGATTCCCGGAGCTGTGCTTGGAGTGGGGCTGATGGGGGGACGCCAATGAAAGCTGGGAGGTGTGAAGGAATTCTCCTCCAGGAAATCTCTGGCATTTGGGATGCGAAACAAAGATCTGCGGTATAAAATAATGCCACGTAATTTCCCAAAGCAAGGTTAAGTCACACAGGAATTACATACTTTTGAAGTACAGAGATTGCAACTCGATATTCTTTTTGCAGCAAAGACTGCTATGATTGGGGCCTTGGGAAAAAAAAAAAAAAAAAAAAAAAACAACAAAAACCCACACAGAAGAAAAGAGACCCACAGAACATTTTTAAATATTCAGTGCAGGGTGAGTTCCTTTCCCTGCAGCACTGCCAGGTTCCTGCAGCCCGCAGCAGCTCCAGTGCTGAGCTGTGTCCCAGGGACAGCTCCAGCTTTCTCACCTCGTCTGGTCCATGGGGTGGGCTCCGAGATTGGCATCTTGTAGCTGAGGATGTAAGGATGTAAAACAACTTTTACCAAAACAATCCACAGTACAAAGGTGAAAGAAAAAAAAAAACAAAAAGGCAAACATGAAATTATATAATGGTCAGGGTCTTCTGCTATTAAAAATATCACTAAAAATAAAGCAGTAATATCTGAGGAAAAATCATCCAGTCAGAAATTAATGACATTTGCTACATAACAAAGTCTAAGACTTCTTGTGGGATTTGTACTTAAAGCAGCTTTCTAAGAGGAAGAATCTGATTATAATTCACTTTGTGACACCTTCAGCACAGGATTTTTGCATGAAGAATGGCATGGGATGGATTTTATTGTAATAAATACTTCAGGCTTGAGGGATACAGAACCCAGCAGTAACTATGGCAACGTGGTCACTCCAGTACGGCTAATGCAGATTACTTCCAGGGCAATTGCCTTGTGTGTGCTCAGGAAGCAGAGGTAATGTTTGCTTAAAGCAATTCCTAAATTAAGGAAAATTCTTGAGGTAGAAGCTGTCCTGCACTCTTTGTTCCCAGTGTCGGACTGGCAGCGCTTCGTGCTGTGCACCACGCACAGCGTGTTCTGCAGAGCCCGCTGGCTGTCAGCCCCTGGCTGCACAGCACGGTGCCCGTGTGCCTGGGGGGCCCGGCTGACAGCGGTGCTGAGGTGTTGGTTGGGCTCTGCATGGCAGTGCTCATGGACACGTGGACGGCTCAGCACCGCCGTCACCTCCTGCAGGGAACAGCAGCGCCGGGTCCTCCCTGAACCGCAGAGTTGGGACCCACCTGGTGCTCTTCTGCTGTGCAGGCATCCCTGAGGCAGCACTGCGGGAGGAACACTTCCGCAGATACATTTCCCAGAGTAAAATGAACTGGAGCTGCATCATATGGGAGCTGCTTGCACTGCGTTTTGTTTTTGTCAATCTTGTGCACTTTTTTTCTGCCAGCAAAGTTCTGTTATTTTGTTGTGTTAACAGGAGAACCGGTCCTCTCTCTGTGCCCTTTTTATCTGTGTAGTGGGGTGCCATGGTGGCTTGGCACTGACGTAGCTGTAGGGACGTATCCTTTCTCTGCACCCAAAATTACCGCACACAAAAGAACAAAGCAGAGCAGCCCTGATTTCCCTGTGCCTTATGTTCCCCGTCTGAAAACTCGAGAAAGCTGCGATGCTTTAAACGTTGTTCAGCCGTTTGAGATGCTCAGACAAAAGAGGAAAGGAAGAAAAGAACCAGCCAGCTGCTATCACTTCTATCTGTGGCCTTTCTGACACAGCAGTTTCCCCAGCACAGATCTGCAGGCCGTCCCAGGAGCGCTGCTCAGCAGAGCGCAGTGCTGACTGCAGAGCTGTGCCTGCAGAGCGCTCCGTGTGCCCGCTGGCTGTGCTGGGACTCTTCTGGAGCAGTGAGTTTGGGCAGCACCAAGCAAGACTTCCTCCAGCAAACTGTGGTGAGAGCTAGCACCGTCTGTTCTCCAGGTTATTAGCATGGTACCTCCCTAATGTCCACTGGAAACAAGCGTCCCATTCAGAGAAGCAAAACACAGCTCTTTAAGTAGAAGCCCTTCTGACCATGTCTTTTTTGCTGTTACCGTTGTTAAGCCTTTGTAGTAACAGCAAAATTTAGTGTTACACTGGCCAGTAATGCAAATCACCGAGAAATGGAGAATATTTACTTGTGCCTAAAAGCATGAGGGATCATGATAAACAAGCTGCCAATGGCACTTCTTTCCTGTTGCTGTCACTCTCCTGTAAAAGGCATTTGGGTCTACCAAGACTTTGGCTATACAAGGCTAAAGTTGCCGTGCACATTGCTTAAGCAGTTGTGAAAGGTCTTTTGCTAACAGTTTCCTGATAAAGATCTGTTACCTCTCATTTCCTCAGGGAGATTACAGAGACCGTGCAGTCAGAGCTGTACTTTCATTTCCCCGCTGCGCTCTGCAGATTCTGTGGGTGATGTGTTGCTGACTCCCCAGGGAAGGGGTGCAGCGCAGCGCAGAGGAAGGTGGCTGAGGGTCTGCTCCTGTGGCACGCAGCATCCAAAGCAACCTACATCCTCCCTCCCAGAGCGCAATACTCAGAGTTGTCCCAGCAAAAGACCCAGTTGTCCCAGCTCTTTAGGAAGGGCCTATCAACATCTAAGATCAGTGTGCATCTGAAACTTGCTTGGCTATTGAAGTCCTGCCCTAGGGCAGGTTGGGGTGCTTTTGCCCATGCTGTTTAACCCTAAAGCAAGTGCTTTTGCACAACAGCTTTCAGGGAAAGACACAAGACTTTGTTTCTAGTTTGTTCCATTGCTCTACTTCCTTAGATCTTATCTCATACTGAAAGCACAAACTTGTGCCTGGGCTAGCCATCCCTGTGCACGGCTGCTGAAGCTGAGACTACCAGAGCCATACTGTTATTTTCCAGCTGATCAGGAGTTAAATAAGTACGTTATATTTAATCTGCTCAAGCCAACCCATTTCTCCTCATGTCGTTGTTGTTTATCTGCAGTTCCTCATTTTCTCCTCTCCACAGAGCATCCCACTGCCACACTCCCAGGAGAGGCTCCAGCCCCACCACCTGCCCTCCCCCTGCCCACAGGGTCAGCCTCTGCCAACACGTGGTACAGATCTGCCCCATGCCAGCCTGGCTGCCCGGGCCGCAAGGCCTCGGTATGGACCGATGGAATCGGATTGAATCGAATGTGTTGTTTTGATGGAATTTGACCCATGCTTTGCTGACAGAAGGCTGCCATCATTCGCTTCAGACTTCCTATGCCCAGGAATCCACTAGGTTTGGTAGCAGCACAAGGTCTGTGTCACCTCAGGCAAACCTCTCAGACCTCCTCCCGCCCTGCGTCCCTTGGCACAGCAATGAGCACAGGGTGAGTCCTGCAGAGAGCTGCCTTTTGTGTGCGTGGCCAAGAGGCAGGCGCAGAGCAGCAGAACGTTTGCTCCAAGATGTCACCTTCCACTGTCTCCAAGCAGAAGCTCTCGACCTTGGACAGCTGAGGCCTGGGATGGCAGCTCCACCCGAGGCTGTGTGGGTCATTGGTCACATTGCATTCTACCGTAATGCGGTGATTTTGCACATGTAGAAGTGAGCCCAGAGACACGGTGTGAATGGCCTTCTCATGTCCTAAGAGAAACTGAGAGTGTAGAGTGGGAAAAATGGAGCTGGAAAGCGGTGTTCCTTTAAAAACTCTTAGCATTCGTGAATTCAGATGAGCTCCGCTACAGTAATTTTGAACGTACGTTTTTGATCTTTGCCATTGGCATGAGTTGAACTTTGACAAAAATGAATTTGCCAAGAACTGCTTGTTTCTTAATAAAGAATATTAAGGCTTTGGGGGTTTTGGAAAAGAACATGAGCTGTGGCTTAAAATACAAGATGTCCACACATCAAAGAAAGAAATCCAAATAATCTAGCAGTTATAATCACCCACTGGATTTAAATGAATTAATTCAATGTAATTGATTTCTAAGGGGAAGGAAGAAAAAGCAACACAGGAATCCCTGCCACAGGAAGGCATGATTTCTATCTGCAATCTAACACAATTAGTGGAGTAGGATTCAGTTACTGAAGGCAAAAAAGAAGACAAATCAAGAGTCAATTGAGTTGCTGTAAAATTTAATACTTGCTGTCATCTTTGTTCTTAGCACAGAGTTGCTGTAGCAACAGACCAAAAAAAGAACTTGCATGAGAGGAGGAGCTCGCTGCTCTTTTAACAATGTCTTTTTATCATCCCTGAATTGGTGTTTATGAACAATCAATCACATTTAGCAGTATCAATGAGTGCAGACACAAGGCCAGATCCTGCAGACATTAAGTCTGCCATACAAAGAGCTGTTTTCAGCTCCACTCTGCAGGTTATATGATTGCAATTTTCATTTGTAGGATTGAGCCCATTTTGATCACATCCGAGATGCAGCTGCTCCTTCATCAATTTACCCCAGCAGTGGCTGTGCACCGTGCGGATCAGGACTGCTTGCAACTCTCCATCCTACAAATAAGAACCAGATTTTTCTGACGCTTTCTTTCTGGATGATGTGGCTCAGGGAGCAGGGCACAGGGAAGCACACGACAGCAGTTTCTGGGCTCAACCCACAAAGCAGAGCTTTCACAAACGTTTTGCACCGAGTCCAGCTGAAGCCAAGGAACCACTCCAATGTGACAGTGGCTGCTGGGCACTGACTCGCTTTCTGACATCGGGGTCGCTGCTATTTATTGTCTGCAGTTAATATAGCACACGTGATCGCCGTTTCTCCCTCTGCAGCGCACAGTTAGTCACCGTGTCCATAGGCACTTTGGGATCCATAACGTGCAACCACAGCCTGCAGCTGCCACGGACCAACTGCAGCCAGCAGGCTCAGAGGTGCACGGTGCGGGCTGTCCTGCCCTCCTGCCCAGCTGTGACGCTGCCCAGCGTGGACAGGGCGCGGCGGTCGCTGCGTGCCGACACGTTCCCGCTCCGTGCCGGAATCCACGGCCGCGCACCACGGTCCATTTCCCTCGCAGGACGCCCGGTGTCAGCCAGCAGCACACGGCCCGCGGGCCGCCGCGGTTTGGACCGCTTCCCACCCTCACCGCAGCCCGGTCACCACCGCGGGCAGCGCGGACGTCTGAGCTCTCACGCCTTTGTTCAGCGCCCGCTCACGCAGCCCCGCGTCGCCGCGGCGGGAGGGGGGAAAGGAAAAGCCTGGGAAACTGCAGCTCTGCTGTGTGGCCCCAACAAAGCGGCATTGTGTGGGGCTCAGCGCTGCGTGTCGGGGCCGGGCGGCCTCGCACAGCACAGCCCGGAGAGGCACACGGGGCGGGGGAGCTGCGCGGGGCCTTCTGTTACACTGACAGCAATTGATGGAGGAAAGGGGCCAAATGGAAAACACGCCTTTCACGGCGAATTCAGCTCTCAATAGAGCTGAATAAAGCCAGCTGAGGGGGCCTTCTCCTGGTGAAGCCCAGGGCTCCAGCTACATTCACAGCTTCATTGTAAATTCCAGCACGACGGTGTCATTTCCTGAAAGGAGAGTGGAAAGTTTGGGGTTTTCTGAAGCGCCCCTTCTCAGCAGAGCACGGCTGAGGAGGAAACCTTTCCTCTTTCACGGCTCAGCCATGCCGCTCTCCAAGTGTGCAAAAGGAGGGGAAGGAAAACGGTCAGGGCTTCTGCCTTTGTTTTTCCTTCCCCTCAGAGAAAGGCTGACCACAGAGGACCTCGCTTATCTGTTTGAGATAGATTTCACCTGACAGAGGAGACTCGATTCCTGTTACAGTTTTCGTGCTGCTTAGCACAATAAAAAGCACTCGAAGAGAGGCGAGCACAAGAAAGAGAAGTGCGGTGAAGGAAGAGATGAAAAGAGAAGCGTCAGCATTATCGTGCCCATAGACGCCACCAGCTGCCACCAGCGGCACAAAGGAAACGTGATTAACAGCAGAGGCCGGACAGCGCAAACTGCGCCTCCTGGTCAAAGGCAGCTGCTGACTGATCATCCCCAGTCAGGTCTGTGGGAGTCTGGGAGGGCGCCTCCATCCCACCCTGCTCCATCTGAGCCGGCAGCTGCGGAGCGGGGCTGGAAGGTGTGAGCTGAGGGCAGAGGTGTGTGCTGAGCAGTACTGCTGCAGTCAGAGTTCAAGATGTGCCAGCAGGCCGCTTCCACTGCTGAAGGCAAATCCTAAGCAAACTGATCTAGCAGTATGTCAGGTACGAGAAGAATGAATACTTGGTATCCTTAACCAGGGCCTTCCCAGAGCTGGCTGGCCTTGAAGGGAACATTAACAAGGAGACTTCGGGGACATCGTCAGCTTGGCGAGAAAACCCACGGTCTGTGTGTCCTCAGCTGAACTGCCTTCATCAGAACACTACAATCACAGTCACGGGTCAAAAAGACCCCTGCCTGGGTGCCGCCCCTTCCCCAGCCATGTGCACTAGTGGAAGTACAGAGTCAGCCGTGTGTAATTGCACCGCAATCACTGACCAGTCACCGTGAGGAGAACAGGCAGGAACGTTATCAGCTTGGTAACTTCTGTGTGTAAATCCTGTGCCGATAGCTTGGTGTGTGAGTTCAATCTGTGGGAAATGAAGAAGCAATGCTTCTGAGTGTGAGATCGCTGCCCTGCTGCACGCTGGGCAATACAGACGTGTCTCCGGTAGCCGTGGGTCGGTGTCAGCCCTGTTTGGAGCAGGGTGCTGAGAGGCGAATGCACGCTCAGAGCTGAAGTGCTGCATGTGGCTGAGGACGTGTGGGCCCTCTCCCACGTGGAGAAGCTACAAGAGGCACTGCTGGTGTCCCTGCAGCGGGCAGTTGCTCCTGGCAGGGCAGTGGTAGCAGGCAGTTGGGGAGGAACGGGAGCAGTAATTAAACCACCACAGTAATTAGCTCGGGGCGTATCTGTCCAAGCCCCAGCTGCTGCCTCTCCAGGTTGTGGCTGCAGCGCGCAGAGCAATGCCAGAAGTGCAGCACAAGCAGCAATCTTTAAAAGCAAAGCTTTGGGGCCGGTTTGTAGAGCCATTTGCTTCCCTCTGTTCCCAACAACACTGTGCTCTAACCTGATTTCTACCACTTCTGTCTCCCCGCTCCCAGGCTCCTGCTGCACCACAATACTGGGCACTCAGTGCAGTGGGACACTGCCCAGCCGGGTGGCAGAGCTTCATCATGAGGCCAAGCATCCCACAGTACTGAGCAGCTGAAGAAGCTCTCGCAGCCCTGAGAGCTGAGACAGGGAATTTAGCAATAGCATGAGAACAATTCTATCTGAGCAGGTTCTTCTGGCTTGGGAGCTGAATGCGGTGAAGAGGAAATGCTGCATTTGTTGGGGATGCAGCAGCTGAGTGGGTCCGTGTCAGGAAGGCTCAAAGACAAAAATAGCAGCCCTGCTGTTCTTCAGTTACACCCCAATGTTTGGTTTCTTGTTTCCCTTTTTTTAAGCTCGGCGTGTGTGTGCTGACTGTGCTTCTTTTGCAGTTCTGTGAAACACGAAGGTGGGGAGAGAACCAAACTTCTGTTTGTCACCAAGTCCTCTCCTTGCAGCACCTGCAGGGAGCTGTGCCGCCATCCCCAGGAGGGATGTGTCAGCTCCAGGACTGATCGGTTCCTGTGATGCCATTCCATGTGGCTTTTATGAAGACCTCCTTCACAGCAGGTCAGCAAAGCCCAGCATGTCCTAAGCTTACCCACAGCTGCTTTACAGAGAAAAAGCTGCACTGAGTTGTGCTGGCACTCATTTCTCATGTCCTCCTAATCAGTAAGAAAGTCACAGTGGCATATCCATTAGCTATTATCTAAATGTGTAGAAATTCATAGACACATAAATGTATGTTGATATGAATGTCCAAAGGAGGAAAAGAAGAAGAGGACAAAAGATATTCTATCTTAAAACAAACAAACAAAAAACATACACAGCATGAGAAAAGCTAATGGTTTAACAACAGTGGGAAAAAAAGAAAAAATGTCTGTGCATTTTTAACATTTGTGGTTATCCTGAAGGAAAAGGACCACCTTCCTAAAGCAAGCAGAACGATGCTCACAGTAGCAGTCCTGGAGGAAAGAAAAGCTGAGTCAGACCTGCCTGGATGACAGTGTCAGAGCACAGCTCCAAAGGCTCCCGAGCACTGTGGTACTCATTCCCAGCCCAAAGGTGCCGGTTACTTCATAAGCGATGCCCAGAAGCAAATCCCTGCTTGGAGCTGCGGGGTCGGGGGCAGTGCTGCTCACCAGGGCTGCCTGCCCAGCGCTGCAGCCCACAGAAAAGTTCTTCTACTGCAGGCTGTCCAGACGTGCAGCGAGAACCCCCGGTGCTGAGCTCTCTGAAAGGGAGAGAGAGGCTTTGTGAACGAAGCCTGAGTCAGCCAGCACCAAAGGCAAAGCAGAGGTATAGCTCACTTGTTTTCTACCTCAACTTCACAGGTAGCCAGATGGATTTTTAAATTAATGTCACTGTTGTAAAATACAGCAGTGACCTTGACTACCTGCATGTAGTCTAGGAGCGAGCTGTACCTTCCTGCACTGCAATCTCACGGCGTTGCAGCGGGACACCAAGTGGGCTCTCACTGTGACAACATCAGCAGACACGAGCTCACGTGGCAGGGCGGTGTCCCAGAGCACTGCAGTTGGGGATGTACACGGACACAACAGCTCCCTGAGGAGTAAAACACACGAGCAGTACGGGCATCCCCAGCAGTGCCGGCCGTGTGCTCACCACAGCAGTGCCGCACGATGCTTCCGATCCAACTGGCAGCTGCCACAGCCCCGCAATGACAACACAGCCTACGTGCCACAGCGATTCCAGGCCAGCTTTTCTTGTCTGAGAGACAATATTTTGGGGGAGATTTTAAATTAAAATCACTTTGAAGGCTGGCGTGAAAAGAGAAGAGCTCTCTCTTTCTATTTAAAATATTCCAAAGAGGCATTGAGAAAGAGCGGTGCCTGAAGATCCTGTCCTGACAGAAGGAAATCAGAACAGAGGGGACAAGGTGAGAGAGGAGACGAGGCGACGGGACGTGGAGCCGCACTCAGCTCAGTGCAGAGCCGCAGCCGAGTGGGCCAAGCGCCGGCAGCTCTGTGCACTGCCACCGGTGTGGGGCACTTGGCTCCTCCTCAGCCCCCAGCTGCCAGGCAAGGCCAGGCTGCCCTGCAGGACGCGGTGCCACAGCCAACAGCAGGCTCACCGCCGGGCCGGGCAGCGGCGGCCACAAATGAGCCTTCCAAAGCCACGGGGAAAATCCTGAAAAATGTAATCCTAGAGGAAGGGCTCAAATGTCAACGTCACGCAGTACCCCGGGCTGTTGGGTGTTATTGGCATTTTCATTTTTCTTAACAGAAAATTCATGTGTTTCATGGGCTATCTGGTGATTCTCCAATGCTCATGGCCTCAGTTGCTTTATGGCACGTTCAGTGCCCAGATCTCATTCTTGTCACTGGGTGCCGTTTACCTGCACTCACGGTGTTCGTTTTTCCATCCTTGCTCTCCCCTAAGAGCAATAGCACTCCAAGTAGCTCTGCAACTGCAGGCAGCTCTCATTCCCCACCTCCCTCTGCTTCAGGCTGCCTTGACACATACCAAAAAAGTCAATGGAACGTTACTTTCAATCTCACCAATTATACTGGTAGATGTACAGAGTGGGACAATATTATTTATTGGATATATTTCAATCTCTCAAACAGAACTAAAAAGTGATGCTTTCTTAAATGCAAGTTGGGCACTACTTTCTCAAAGGAGTGCTTGAAAAAGAGGTTAGATACCAAATGTTTAAAACCTCAAGCAGATTTATTCCGAGAAAATGGAAAAAAAAAAAGTGCAGCCATCCCTTTCAGTGCAGCAACTCCTCGCCCAGGGAAGAGAGGATCTCTGGCTGCAGTGTGGGCTGGCTGTGTCCTGCTCGGGATGCTGCCCATCCAGCTGCTTTCCTGAGCTGTGCACACATCTATTTTAAAAGTGACCTTCCGCACTGCTCTAGAAAAATGTGACTTTCCTCAGATAAGATAATTAAGCTTACCTAGAAATTGTTAGAGCAATTCATTCGTATCAGTTTCCTAAGTTAAATCACCAGTATTAATTATAGTGGGTTGTTCATAAATTCATTTGAAAGGGAAATAGACACCGTGGGGTATGTAAAGCCTATTTGTTAATTAGGTAAATCATCCACACAGGTTTTCTGCACTGCTGACTGTATATTTGGGAACTCTTCAGCTTTTTCCTGGTTTATACAGCTTTGCTACCATGAATTCCTTATCAGCTTATATTTATAGCAAGGAACCAGCCCTGAGCTGCAAACCCTCACTGCATTCCCAGCAGAGGAAGGCTCTCCAGGAGCCCCAGGCAGGCATGCCCACACCGTGCCCTCCTGGGGGCACAGGGAATGGCTGGCTGAGCTCCTGGGATGTCAGCAAACCTCAGCTGCTCCAGGAGGCAGGGGAGCAGCGTCAGGAAACAGTTGAAGTGTGCCCCAGAAAAGCGATGCCCATGGGTGCAATGCAGTGCAACAACTGACAGCAGTTTAGAGGAGGCACCAGCTCAGGGAAGTGATGAGCATTTCAGTTGTGACAGACACAAAGCACTGCAGCTGCACTGACTGCTCCCACAGCTCTGCGCACATCACGGGCTGAAGGCCCTTCTCGGCCCCCCGCTCCTCCTTTACAAGCACGTTGGAGGCCTCGTGTCTGCAGGCAGCGTGGCCTGACCTCTGCAGGTTTGCACAGCACCTCACTGCCACAAGCCCCACGGCCCTCCTGCAGCCGTCACGCAGCACCAGCAGCCCTCTCACTTCCCATCTGCTCATCTGCTCATTCTCTGATCGCTTAAATGTGAGTGCGGAACAGGGCATTTTGGCAGAGGATTTGTCTGGGGTTTAGTTTTCTCTTTTCCCCAGACAGACAAGCAGATAGCCCAGAAATACTTGTAGAAAAAGGACAAAAGTGTATCCAGCATTAACGGTTCCTTTCTCTTCTACCAGGCAAAGGGAAGCAGTGCTGGGAGTGGCAGTTCCTTCTCAATCACCATCCCAGCAGTTCCTCTATCTCACTTCTTTAGGCTCTGGCATCCTTCCCGTGTCCTCTTTCGTTCCTGGGTTCTTCTGAGCTGTTTCCCTGCCAGCTTTTGGCATCCAGCTCTTGGCATGCACTTAAGAGGAGGAAATTGAGCTGACACCGGCATCAGAGCCTGCTGCAGCCTAATAGAGAATATGCTGCATGGGCAAGACCTGGGCCAGAACAGAGGGAGCAGTATTTCCTGAGCAAAGCAGCAATGTCATTAGTTTCATAAGCACTCTTGAGGCAGGCCAGAGAAGGCAGGCAAAGCGTTGCAGCCATTCAGCTGCAAATATTTTTTACAGTGTTACTGAGACTCAGCATCAACCATTCAAGACTTGTGCTCTAACCTACACAACATTAAATACCACTGATCCACAACTGACTTTTTACATACGTGTGGCTCAGGTTGGAATTTAAGTTACATTTTCTACCCGAGGAAAGATGTGTTGCTCCCTATTCCCCCAGCTGTCACTGCACATCCAGGCCAGCTCAGCTCACCAAATACCCAGGGAAGAAAACTGGGTCACAGAAATAGCAACAGACAGCCTCATGCTGCCCCGCAGCGTGCAAGCTTTGGGGTTACTGGTCAAGGAAAGGGAACATTTGGGAAAAGTGGTGCTTTCCTAGAACGCACTTCCCCAAACTGTTCTGCCCACAAACAACTCACAACTGAGCAAACAACACTTCCCTCCCAGGCAGCGTGCCCTGCATGCTGCTGCTAACATGGGGGCTTGGCTCTGTAGCTGCCCCGAGGCCAGAACATGGGCATGGCATTGCATGTGTGCTGCTCAAGGCTTTCACAAAGCAACAGGTACAGCTTGCTATGAGCCAAACTGCAGAAGCAGTGAGCACACGTGAGTGATGGGTGGGATTTTTATATCCTCTAAAATAAAGCCTCGCAGACTTGAATTCATGTGAATGACTGTGTCAACAGTAAATCAAATCCGGTGCTCCAAAAGGGTGGGTAGCTCAGCCATAACAAAATGGGTTTGATGATCTGTCATGTTGCATAATTCCAAACTTACAGGGCTTGATTTTCTGGCTTCAGTGTTTTGCAGCAGAGGACAAATTGCCATCATGCACTCGAGGTCCCCTGGAGCAAAGGGCAGCAGGGAGGATGCTGACCCCACTGAGGTGTTGCTGCTGACAGCCCCAGGGCCAGACCAACCCAGCCTCACTGCAACGGCTGCAGTGCATCGTGTGAGCTGTGCTTGATGAAAGAAGCCTGCTTCTAACAGCCACGTACACACGGATATAGAACAAACAAATTATTAAATTGGCAAAACAGGGAGAACATTTAAATCTGCCATTTTTTCCAGACTCTGTTCCCTGTGGCATTGCACAACTTCCCCAGCTTCACTTCAAAATACCTTCCCAGCTCAATGCCAGGTACCTGGGGCCCATGTGAATTCCAGATTCCCCGCGATTGATTTTACAGACTGTGTCCAACGGTACCTAACCCAGAAGGCATCTCCCCTCACCCTCCGGAAAACAAGGTGTTGTAGAACTTGTTAAGTATTGACAGACACTTCCTTAAACAGAGCATTCATCACAACATGTGAACCAGAACATGCTGAAGGTTTGTTTCTAAATGTGTGAAGAATCCACACAGACCAGCGGTGCTTCTGGAGACTCTACTGGCAGCTGTGGGTTGGGAATGGAGTGGTAATAAATAAACCAAAGTTTGCATCTCATTCATTTGCTTCATCTATTCAAAATAACTTAGCATGTCGGTGCAGCAGCAAGTATAGGTGCTATTTAAGATTGCTTCTTTTTGTAGACGAGGAAAGTCAGAGCAGCACAGGAGCACAGGAACACAGGAGCACAGGAACACAGGAGCACAGGAACACAGGAGCACAGGAGCACAGGAGCACAGGAGCACAGGAGCACACTCACAGCTCACCATGTAACAGGGTGACTTCCAGGGCTCAGAACTGCAGCTTGGAAGAAGGGCAAGTCGTGGGAAATGCAGTGTGTACGTATGGCTGTTTCCTCATTCTGCTGCTCCCTGCACAGCGCTTGCAAAGCAAAGACTGCACTGCAAGCCAGCACCTTCCAGCACCTTCCAGCACCAAGCAGGGTCGGGATGGATGCGGAAGTTAGCAGAGGAGGGAGAGGAGAGGCGAGAGGAGAGCACATGCAGAGCTGAGCTACAGCCTCCAGCGCTGCCACGATGCGCAGTAAGCACGGCTGGGAAAAGGCACAAATTTTCCCCCAGGGCCACAGTGGGGCTCTGCGGCAGCTCTGACTGCCGGGCTGTGAGCGGCACACAGACTGGGGAGCAATACCCAGAGTCTGAGCACTTCCTTTGTGGTTTTGAGTGGCCTATGCCAGAATTTACATAGCAGGAACTCAGAGCTGTTAATAGAAAATGCAAGCTGAGAGCACAAAGTCCTCGTGTAGCTGCAGAAACAATGGTCGAGAAGGGGAATCCCATCGTAGCAGACGTGTTCAGACTCATAACGTGTGCAGCAGACCTGAAATAATTCACATTTAGGTGGGTTTGGGGTTTTCGTTGTTTTTTTTTCCTAAGAAAGCAAGAAAGATATCACAACATTATTTTAATAAAAGGCTCCTTTCAGCTGCTCTCGTCTGCGAAGAGACTGAAGGTACGGAACATTTCAGAGCGTGTTCAGCACTGTTAGCGTTGCTCCGTGCGGTGAGCACTGGAGCGGTTCGGTTTAGAATTGTGTTTTGTAGCTCTTTGTCAGACTGAACTCAGCCCCTCCTGAAATGGGACCCCCAGCCCCACTCTCCCAATTGCTCTGCCGAGGCCCGTTGCCCATTGAGCCATTCACATTCAATCAGCCAACACAAAAGCCGTGCACGCCTGTATTTGCATTCTTCCCATCTGGTAACAGTCACGAAGAGAGCCCAATCGCTTCCCAGCTCCTATTTTTATCCTGCCCAGACGTAGAAATTTTTCATAATAGTACCATTTCTCACCCTTAGAACTCCACGTGCCTTTCTGCTTCCATCTCACCTTGAAGGGGAGGAGGCACTGAAACCATTACCCCTTTCTTATTCTCTTCCAATGGTCATTCCGTGTGCAGGAGACAAGTAATCTCTCCACAGAATTTCTTTTTAAGAAACAGGGAGGCACACAGCTGGCAGCACCACCTGGATCCTAACGTAGCTTTGCAATTCTTCGTCTACACATACTCTGAAAATTAGCATTTTTTCACCAGCGATGTTGAAGCACAAAGGAACGTTGGCTCCAAGTTAACGCAGATGTGATTCTGCAGCAAGTCCTTTCATCACACACTGCTCATCCCTTGGTTACATTCCCTCCCTCACATCTCTCAAGCATTCAGATCTCTCAGAGGTGATAATTTCTCTCGAAATGCACGCACCCTTCTACACTGGATTTGTGATTTGTACATGGCAGTGCTTCTAGATGTGAAAACAACTTTCTCAGCAAATGAGCACAGACCAAATAAAGTACTAAGCATATCCACTAAAGGCACAGCTGAATTGGAACCGATGGAGCACTGCACGTGTTGCACCTGCTTCCACGTGTTACACGGACCCACAGGGGGAAGGTGGGCTCCTGTCACTGCACTCACAGCCACACGGTGCTCCATTCCAACTTCCCTGGGACCATTTTGATTTTGTACTGCAGGAATGACTGAGTTGGAAACAACGGACCATTATGATGAGAAATCACTGCTTTTACATACTGACAGTTTTCCTGTTGGGCACTTATTATGATGACTTAAGGGAAAGAAAGAGGTCAAAGCACATTCATGCCACCACTTTGAATACAGCAGTCTGGTTCTGTAGAAAAGAGGCTGAAACTGATTTTTCTCAGCCCAAAGTGTGTGAGATAGCAAGACTGCAGAGCATGTCACACCCTCTGGAAAACATGGTTTAAGATGACAGACATCAGAGCAATAGTTCAGATCTCACTATCCCCATAGCAGGGTCACAGAGAGTTTAACAGCAGGTAAATTAATACAACTTTTCTGATGTTACAATATTACAATTGTGAGAGTTCATCTTAGAGAATAATTAGAAAGACTTCATAAGACAGATTTTCTGAAGGAAAAAAAAGGAGAGACTTTACAATTCTATTAGAGACTCTTCTGGCCTCCAAGTGATATTTGGTAGGTCTTTTAATATGCAAGCTGCAATTTACCTGCTAATAAATTAGCAGCCAGGAAAACAAAGCTTCACATGAAAGGCAGTAGTAAAACACAAATGCAAACTGTGCGAATGCTCATCAGCATTCAGGGCATCACACAGCAGCCGTGTTCTCTCTGAGCCTCAGTAACCTTTTGCTCTCAGTTAGGAACTAATCAGACGTGTCGGGTGCTAACAGCAAACACGATGATGCACACAGGGGAGATGTGCAAGGCAGGTAATTGTGATCCTTGCATCCCCTCATTTATTTCCCCATTTTATTTTATTTTTTAAAGAAAAGAGTTCAATTTTTGGTCACTTTCTCCTAGAAGTCATGCTTTTTAGACCACGCTCTTTCCACCTTCTGAACACTCTCCCTTTTTCCAGACGTACAATTTGCAGCCCTAAAAGTGAGCACAGCCCTGTCAGATCCCCCAGGAGTAGGCAGGCTCCACCACTGCCTGCCTTCTGTGACGCGTGGCATCCCAACATGATGCTGTGCACCCACACCCAGCTGTGCCCACACCTGTGCCCACTTCCCATGGCATCTTATGCTGCTGCAGCTGCATTTTGTTGCTCAAGAAGAGCATGCCTGGTGCTCATCACTGCATACCAGCATCCTCTACTGCAACTCAGGTTAAATCCCAGCCCTCTCCTCCAATGTTCCTGGAGTCCCTTCAAGCTGTGTGTTATCCACAAGCCCAATACAGTCTTTTCTCTGTTCTACCATCCAAACTGTTAATTAAAATATTGAACAGAGCTAGGAAGCCAGGCAGGCAGGACCGTGAGAGGTCACAGACCATGCAGCTGTGATCAAGAGATGATTAGGAAAAGGACAGAGAATACTGCAGTGCCCATTACACGGCACAGGACGAGGTGGTTCTGACAGTTGAGGTTCCCAACAGCACGAATCCCACGGCGGAGCTGCAGGAACCCATGGGGATCTAGCAGTGAACTGCAAAGGTGTGGCTGTAAAGGTGTCAGTCAGCACTGCTCCTTATTAGAGGAGAGCAGGCTGTGGGAAACACGACTCAGAGCAGAAAGGTTCCATGAGCTGCATTCCCCTCTTCTCCCACTATCAGTGACAATATTTTGCCTTCAAACTTTGCCTCAAATGAACTGAATAGACACCGACTTTGGGAATGTACACAGCCTGCTGCAGTGAACTCTCAAACAGCCTGAGGATGCAGTTTAACAGCAGTAACTGGGACAGGCACATCTCCATTTGAGCTTCCCATTACCACAGTTCCCTCCAGTTAAACTGCTCTCCTACAGTAAGAGAGAGGAAGCGCAAGGTCTGCTTCCTTCAATTATCCATTGGCCAATGGCAATGGTCTCATCCCACAGCCCTCCTTCTGTGTGTGGTCCCCTGACCAAGTCATGTTATTTAAAACATATGAATGTAGCCTATGTGGTTTGAAACACTGACTGAAGCTGAAACACACATAAAAGCCCTCGGCCACAGGAAGGACTTGAAAGGCCACCCCGAGGTGGCCCCGCAGCAGGAGGCAATGTCTCATTGCATACGTGCCCTCCCACACCACAGCAAATGCAGCCAGGGATGCTCAGGCACTGGGGAAGCATCAGCAGCAGTGCCCAGCTGGCCTGGAGCTGTGGGGCAGCCTGAAGGCACAGTGCCATGGAGCTGGAGCCAGCTGGGGCAGGGCAGCCACGGCCTGCCACGTTAATGGGCGCACATCCAGCGTGGGTGTGGGGACACTTTGTGCTGCTCTCAGATCTCCTTAGGGCTTGGAGCAACCTGGACCAGTGGGCTGCAGAAAGCTGTGCAGCGTGTGCTTTGTAGAGGTTTCCCATGGGGCTGGGGTGAAGCGAGCCCTGGCTTCACACAGACTGCCCAGCAGGGCCTGAGGGACCCGCCAGCACTTTGGCCCTGCAATTCCCGCAGCACTTGGGCCTGTACCGACAGACCCCAGTGCTCTCCTGTGGGAATCAGCAGGTGGACGAGGTGCTGGATGAACCCTGAGCCTGCAGACAGGGCTGCAGGCAGCGTAACTCCATCTGCAGGCAGGCAGGGAGCTCCAGAATGGAGCTACACGTGGTGCCCATGGAGGAGCTGTGCCCGGTGATGGAAGGTCAGGTCACTCAGCAGAACTGGGAGCTGCTTCTCTCTGCAGCCACCAGATGATGCTTTGCTGTTTCAATTAAAAATTCCTCAGGAGACAAACTTTCCTCATTAGCAAAAAACATCTCACAAATACAGGCAAGCCTTGACAGTGGCACAGCAGATTCACTGCGGAATTTAACGACCTCCTCAGCTGACAGTACTGAAGCCTGGGTTTGTTTTGCGATAATTTATGCAGAGGGACTCTTCCATTCTGCCTGGCTGCAGGCAGGGGAGCCGTCACAGCCATTAAGATGATCTCAACAACAGATGGACTGAGCATTGCATAAGCATGCCTTGGGTTTTGAGAGACGGTACGTGGATGCCCCTGTTTACTCAGAGACCCTGTTGCAGGGTGTCCTATCACAAGAAACAAATGTGCTTATGTGTGCCACTCCTTCCCCAAACCAGCTCAGCAGGCACTGCGAAAAATCTGTTGCCTGGCTGTCAAAGCAGACTTCCGACCAGAAAGCTGAGCTCCAGGCTGGAGCAGCAAGTGTGCGCCAAGCTCCATGGCCTCTTTTCCCCACATAGGCGGCAGGGAGAACAAGCAGGGCTGAAGCCCACAGGCCCAGGGCTGGCTTGCAGCTTACAGCACAGGCTGCCCCAGGCACACATCAGTCTGATAGCTGAGGTTAAAATGCTGTGAAGAATCTGAAATTATAAACTACCTCCTCCGTTCTTGCTTTCTTTTTTATTCTTGTATGTGTGTGTTTACAAAGTTATCTCCATGCAGTTATCTCCGCTGACTGCTGTCTGGCAGCTGGGTGTTTGTTGGTTGAAGGGTTCCTATAAAAATCCCCAACTGTAGTCTCATTTCTGTCTTAAATTCATGGACCCTTTCTGTGCAGCAGTAAGCAAAGCAGGACTAAGAACAGCACTGAAAGGCACACAGCAGGAGCTGTGGGGAGGAAGCGGTTAAGTTATCAGCCAAAGGCCTCCGCAAGCTGTGCTTTCTCACAGAGGTTACAGAACACAAAACCTGACACGCCGTGCTCACCAAAATGCTTCCACTGCTGCTCAGAAGCTTTCTATATTGGAAGAGCAAACTATTTTCTTCTCAGTGCGTATGGCTGTACACAGAGCTGGATGCCAGGCAGGTTTGGTGCCACTGCAGAAGGAATGGGAGCAGCAAAGAATGACAGAGACAGAGCAGTGCCCCTCAGCCAGCTTGTTTCTAGAGGTGACTGGCAGCACACAACGGAGCAACCACTGACGTTCTGCCTGGGATGTGTGCTAACAGCCATTGGGAGAAGCTTGTGACTACAGCTCTTCAGCCACCCTTTCTTTTTCCATTCTAACTGCTGAATGAAATGTCTCTAAAAATCTGTACAGCTCTTGAATACCTTGGGAATCCACTTGAAGTAACATTTAGCAGTATATGAATATTCACTTCCTTGGTGTTTCTCTTAACAGTCATGCAGACAATGCAGTGATTTCCTGCCCACATGCAGGTTCCATACAGAGGGCTGCACTGGCGGTCTGCAGTGCACTGGTTTTCACTGATGGTGAGCAGATTTGATCTGTGATATGGAGATCTAAGAGCTCGGCAGAGGGAGAACGCTTTGTGAATGCGGGAGGAGATATAAGCAAAGCAGACTATTTCTGAAGTTTCTGCTGGTTGTGATCAGTACAGCGAACCCAGGACTACCTTACGATGAGCTTAAAAAGCTGTACGGGGAACCCAAGGAGGTTATTCAAAAAATTGGTTCAGTCTACTAATATGTACATACGTATCTTAAAATAAGTTATGGCTAGATAAGCAGAATATAGGAATGTTGTCATTCTTACATGGATGGGTAATTTTCTTCATATCCATCAGAAAATATGTGAAATTGTTTCTGCTGTTCATGAATTTGGGTATGTTTGGTCACCACAGGCAAGAGACAATCCTGCTCTGCCCTGCAGTGTGACACACGAGTACAAGGACAGAGCCAGCTGGGAGACATTCTGTGCTTGGGACTTGTCTGAACGCAGCACTGAGCTGGAGGAAATAAACCACTCTGAGCAGATCTGCACTGGATGCAGGTAGGATCGACACAGCGTGGTGGCAGCGGCAGCTATTACCATGCTGCTATTCACACGCTTTTCCCACACACAGACGTGTCTGTTGTCATTATCTGGTCATTTCCAGAAAGACAACAGCGCTGACTTTTGAGAGTCCTGATTCCAACTCAATACTCAGCACTTCTCATCTGCTTGTTTTCCTTTCCCGCTACCTGTTTTACATTGTTACTGTGGTTTCTTTGCAGCCTCTCTGCTAAAGAGTCATTTCCGTAACGGCTGAAACGCTTCCCTCGGTTCAGGGATATTTCAGGTAACCACCTGAGTTGGCCCCGAGGTTTAATTTATGAATTCTTACACCAACTACCCGACAGGAGCGAGCGAAGACACGAGATCCATTCCCAGGCAGCCAGGCGCAGTTCACCCAGCGCTGAGGATGCGGGTCTTTTCCACTCAGGGCTCTCCTCGCAGAAGCCCCGGCTGCGCCGTGCGATCCCGCACAGCTTCGCCCTTTCAGCCACACGGCACCGAAGGCCAGACGAGCCCCCAGCTCGCGGCGCGCCCCCAGCACGCGCTGCTGCTTGGACGCAAAGCCAGGAGGTCTTCGGGAAGAGACCAGCGGCAGCGCCGGCTGCTCGTCGTTACTGCAGGGAGGTTTTCCCCTGACCGAGCGACCGACCCGCGAGGCGTGAAAAGCGACCCCCACTCGCGCTGGAGCCGCTCAAGCGCCGCCCGCTCCGCTCCGGGCACGGCAGCAGCGCGCCGCCCTCCCGCCCGCCGCGAGACGCGGAGCGCCGAGCCCGACCGCACCGCCGGACCGCAGGGGGCGCTGCTGCGCGGCTCCGGCGCGGAAGCGGAAGCGGAAGCTGGGCGGGGAGCGGCGCGCGCCGGCGTTTGGGCATGGCGGAGGCGGAGGCGGAGGCGGCCGGGCCGGAGGCGGCTGGGGATGGTGCGGCCGTTATCGGCGCCACCGTGCCCACCGGGTTCGAAGTGACGGCGGCCGCTGAGGTGCAGGAGAAGCTCGGCTCCGCGTCCCGGATCAGCAGGGACCGCGGGAAGATCTACTTCGAGGTGCCGGCCCGCTGCCTGCCCGAGGTGCGTGCGCCGACCTCGGCCCCCTCGGCACCCCGGACCGGCCCCTGGCTGCGCACACCGGCGTTGTGTCGGCCGCGCGGCGCCCCGTCCGCAGCGGAGCGCTGTCGGTGTGCTGGCAACCGTAGGGCAGCGCCCGTCCTGCCCGGCTGGTTTGTCCGGGTTTGCCGTGCTTTGACGAAGGCGGCTGAGGTCAGACAGACCCGGGCCGGCTTTTTTTACTGCTTTTGCGCGTAAACCGGTGACCTCCGCGGCACGGCGCCGGGCCGGGTGTAGATATAAAGTGGCGACGCTCTGTAACCGGTGGTAACGGAGCGCCGCTGCTCTCCCTCACTGCAGGTCCATCGGCTGAGGTCCGTGGATAATCTGTTTGTTGTCGTTCAGGAGTTCAAAGATTATCAGTTTAAAGAAACCAAGGTGAGTTACTCATTGCTTTCAGTCAGTGATGGGGCTTGGAGTGTCATTTTAATTGTAGTGCTTTGAGTGTTTCACAAGCAAGGATTTTTAAAACGTCTGTAGTGCTGTCCCAGTTCTTTGTATGGTTTTGTTGTCTGCCTCAATCCCTTCTGTTGTGTTTGCTGCGTGGGAAACCGAGAATGAGAGCAGCTATGTGCTTGGAGGTCATCCCTGGGTGGAGGGCAATAAATATCCTTTGGTCTCTTAATGTAGTGGTAACCATGATAAATGATTATTTGTTCTGGATCCTGTGGTGTAAAATACCACCCAGATGTGGTGACAATTGCACACAAAATTGCAAGCCGTGATTAGATGTGCAGTGAGTTGCATGTATGGACTAATTTAAGAGACTTAGAAAAAGGGTAGTTTTTCAAGAAAGGGAATGACTTTGAAGTACAGTTTCTTTTGTCTTTTAAAGGAAGACGCTTTAAAAGATTTGGAAGGTTTGGTTAAAAAACTGCCTTGGACTGATCCTTTGAGAATTTGGGAGCTGAACAACAGCTTAAAGAAGAAAAAGACAAAACGCAAAAAACAGAATCTGCAGAGAACTGCAAGCAAAGAAAAGCTGCGTGACGGTGGAGAGGAGGAAAAGGATGACAAAGCTGTGGGTGGGCAGGAGGACTGCGCCCCAAACACGGAGGGAGCAGAGCCAGCTGCTGGCCAGAGTGCAGAGGAGATGCAAGGAGAGGCCTCGCAAAATGAGGAGGATGATAACGAACAGTCAGAGGCTAACAGTGAACTTCATGCCAGTTCTGGGGCTGAGACAAAGGCTGGAGATGATAGCAAAGCTGAAGGAGATGATAGGAAAGATGAAGGAGATGCAAAGGTGTTAAAGTTTCGCGTTACATGCAATAGAGCCGGAGACAAGCACAGTTTTACATCAAATGAGGCTGCAAGAGACTTCGGAGGAGCTGTGCAGGAGCACTTCCAGTGGAAGGCTGACATGACTAACTTTGATGTAGAGGTATTGCCTTGTGCCTTGGAAATAATTCTATTTCAAAAATTAATTCTTAGTTTTGATTCTCAGAGAGCTCCAAAATAACCTTTAAAAGATTGTCCTGAAGCTGGAAGTTAGTAATGCTGAAATCATGACTTCCTCTGAAGCACTGATTTCATTGGCATGTTATGTATATCCTCACACCCCACTGCTTGCTTGTGCTTGCTTGTCCCTAATCTCTTTTGTGACCCCATGAGGGCACCTCTCCTCATTTTCATGCTCCCCTTTGCTCTGCATACACTCTCACTCAAGATAAGTGATTAACATCACTAAACCGAGGGCAGCTGAGTCAGTGCTCAAAAGTCATCTCCTCTCTCAGCTACACCACAGGGTTTTATACTAAGTTTTACCTCCTATGTTATTTGCTCACATGGTTACAGGGAGCAAAAAGGGTTATGTTAGTTGTCCACTGCTTTTTCCCTTTTCATAGGGAAAGCAGAAATTTGGAAAGGAGATTCAGCAGGTATGGTCCATTAAAATTTTCCTTTTGAAAGGCAATAAAGTGAAATGATTTTCTTGCAAATTTTTTTAAGGGCTGACCCCTTTCTTGTAATGGTGTCTTCGCCTTCCAGGTTCACATTGCATAGGGGTCCAGGTGTGGGGTTTCTATTGCTGGTTTGCAAATGCTGCGCTGTGACTTGCAGGACTTATCCCTGCTTTTCCCCAGCAAGTATAAAGCAAAGTTCTTTGAACATCATCACAGAGTGCTTTTTGTGCAAGTGAAAAAAAACACGCTGTCCTGACTTGTGCCCTTTGTCCTCATTAAGGACAGTGGATAGTGCTCTTATATGTGTATTTCCTGATTTTGTATAAATCACTGCTGGTTTAAACATTTACCCGATATACTGTGGGAAACTTGTGTTACTTCTGAAATTTAGTTCCGGTTTTTCTTTAGGTTCTCCTGAATATTCACAATAATGAAGTAGTCGTGGGCATTGCATTAACTGAGGAGAGTCTTCACAGAAGAAATATTACACATTTTGGACCCACAACTCTTCGCTCAACTCTTGCTTATGGCATGCTTAGGTCAGTGCAAATGCATGGTTTTATATGATTCTTAGTTAATAAGTCATTCTGCTTCACAAATTAGTTGCCTTATCCCCCCCCACTGCTTCCTTAGAAGCTATTTTTCTTGATTCTTGTTAAAAGGGAATAAAGACACAGCAACACTGGATGTTTTCCAGCTTAAACACTTGCTGCAAACCATTAGCCAGTTTTCAAAATACTAGATGACGACATTCTTGAAAGAATTTCACTGGACTGGCACGTATGAGTGCTAGTTATTAAATGCAATTAATGTTCACGTGTTATATTAGAAGGGCTCAATTGCTGTGATTGAAACAGTTTAGTTTTCCATCAGTACAAGAAATTCATGTTCTTAAGACTTTTCTCAAAGTACCTTTATTTTCTGCTCCTCAGGCTCTGCGATCCCCAGCCAACGGATATCATCATTGATCCAATGTGTGGTACAGGTGCAATACCCATAGAGGTGATCCTTCCTTACTTTTTAGCGTAGTAAAACTTGAGACAGTATCTGCAATTGAATAACGTGTAAGTTTTAGTGGCAGTAACTGAACAGCCAACAACAGAAGCATCTCAGCAACTTCTCAACAGCTACAAGCACATCTTAATAAATGCCTTTAGTTTCCTTCCCAAAGCTATCACAGAAAGAAGCAAAATCTAAAAGAACTTTGAGCTTTTAAGTTGCCTAAGACCTGTGACACATCCGTTACAGAGTTTTAAAATCACTGACATCTACTTCAAATTGCTTTGTCGTATTCTGGTGGGTTTTTTTTGGTGGGTTTTGTTTCAAAAAGCGAGCAATGTTCATGTTAATGTTTATCCGTATTTCCCCCCAGGGAGCTATGGAATGGCCTGGTTGCTATCACATTGCTGGTGATAACAACCCACAAGCTGTAAAGAGAGCAGCAAGCAACATATGCTCTTTGCTAAAGAAAAATGAAAATAAGGAAAGGTAAGAACAGTACAAGAGATTTTATTTTCCTGTAGTGCTTTATAGGAATAAATCTATCTTGCATAGATTTTCTTGACCTTTTCCCTATTACTTTGTTACCATTATAGAGTTCTTCAATGTAAAAATATTTTCAGTAGACCATATTTGAGGTGTCTTTGCTTTTGTAGCAGTGCTTCCTTGGGGGTACCCTTAGACATCGTTCAGTGGGATATTTGCAATCTCCCTTTGCGGACTGGCTCTGTGGATGTCATTGTGACAGACATGCCTTTTGGAAAAAGGTGAGGGACCACGAATTCAAGCTATTGTGTGTGACCATCACTGCCACGTGTGCTTGTGTGTCCAGGTTTAGGGTTCTCTTGTAACTTAACTGGGCCTAATTGAGAAGTATTTAAGTACTCAGCATAAAGAATGAAGCTGAAAGTTTATGTGGTCATACATACATGTATTTTTCAACAGTCACAAAGGAGATCTTGATCTGTGTTATAGGATAGGGTCAAGGAAGAAGAACTGGGATCTCTATCCAGCCTGCCTTATGGAGATGGGGCGGATCTGCACACCAGGCACAGGTAGAGCTGTGCTGCTTACTCAGGACAAGAAATGCTTTGCCAAGGTATGCTCTGAGTGAAACCTTAGAAGTAAAACAAACCTATTTGCAAAGGAAAAATCTATTGAGGAGAGAAACTTTAAGCTGACTTCACTATGGGAGGTGATCTTTTTCTGAAGAGACAAATAGCAGCATTTTAATGTGGTTTTAGACCTTATTCAGGTGTGATTTGGGATAGTCAGGAATAACATCTAAAGAAAATTTATCCTTATATCCTTATCCTGAAGAAGCCATCACCGCTCTTGGGGCTGTTTTTTGTGGGTTTTTTTTCTATTGTAGGCCTTGTCAAGACTGGGACACATCTGGCGCAAAAATCACACAGTGTGGGTGAATGTAGGGGGACTTCATGCTGCAGTATATCTTCTGAAACGCACCTGGGAAAGAGTGGAAGAAAAGAGGTCATTCTGGTAATAGCCTGTGTGGAAGAAGACAGCAGACACCTCCAGAACTTCCAGATGAGCAGATTGGTAAAGGAGACAGCTGGGAGCGTATGTCTCTGTTCCTAAGCAGAAGGCAGTAAATGTGAGAACTGCTTAATGTGAGCAATGAACCAGGGACCAACCTGAGAGCTCCCTGTTGTACTGTGTGTTCTGAACCTGGCTTAAATTATCTCTTTTCACCCTGCCAACCAAACTGAAAGTCAGTAGTGGTGTTAGTAATGCTCTCCTTTGCCTGAGTCTTTTCTGCTACGTCTGTTGTATTTCTCAGTTAAATGCTTGTTTCCTCTGCTTACAGTAGAAAACATGTGGAAGCATTTTTTGAGCCAATTAGCTGCTAATTTTTTCCCTGTAGAAACCGTATCTTAAAATGGCAGTATTAGTCACCTTGAAGGGTTGAGAGGGAGAGGTAGTACCTCTTTGCTGTAGGACTTTTCCAAACTGAAAGTTTAAAGTTTGTACTGTTGCCCAAATGTTAATTAAGATGTTCGATACTCTGGTGAGAAAATGCTGAGCAGTGTGCTGGTGCTGCTGTTTGATTTCTTAGCGGTGCCTCGACTCGGTGCTGTCTGTGTCTCAGAGCTGTCAGTGCCTCACCGCCGTGCTCAGGTCCTGCTGTGGGTGAGGGCGATGCCCCGGGCTGCCTGAGCAGAGCAGTTGTGGTTTCTGCTTGAGAGCAGAGACATTTCCAGCAGCTTTATCTAAAAGTTCGTGTTTCAGTGCCCGTGCTGGCACTGCGGGCGGCAGCACGCCTGGATTTATGAGCTGTTGGAGGTGTGCTGCCTACTTAAGAATACGGTTTGTTCAATTAATGAAGTTGAAAATGTTTTCTTCTCCAGTATACCGCGATTCCTCAGGCTGATTGCTCTGCTCGCCAGGAGCTGAAGCGCTGATTACCAGCTTGTCGTTCCGTTAAGGTGTATTCAAGCTCACGGTAACGTGCTCAGAGGCGGATCACAGAGCATTAAAGGTTTCTTAGCCCTGCAGAGGCAGAAGTCGGGGCAGCGTTCTGTTCTGCGCGCTGCAGCCCGTCTTCGCTTCGGGTGGGGCGCGATGCCAGCCGTCCGTTCGGGCCCGCAGGTGCCGTTCCGTTCTGAGAGCGGCCGTTCGCGCAGCTGGCGCTGCGGGGCGCGGCGTCACCGCGTTCCGTCATTGCGTCACGGCGTCACCGCGTTCCGGCAGCACGTCGCGTGAGGCGCCGGCCCGTCGCTGCGTCACCGCGTCGCGCTGCGCGTGCGTGGCGCCCCGCCCGTCTCCGGTCGCTGCCGCGCACGCGCGGTGCCGCCGCGCAGCCGCGATGGCGCCGCCGGGTCCCGCCGCGCCGTGCCTGCGCTCCGCCAACACGCGCGAGCTGTCCGAGGTCGTCTTCAACAACCGCAGCCCGCGCGCCGTGCTCCCCATCTGGGTGGACTTCGAGGGCCGGCCGCGCTACTACCCCGTGCTGCGGCCGCGCACCGGGCGGATCATGCACAGCTACCGCGGTGAGGAGCCGCGGGCGGGCGGGGCGCGGTGACGGCCGCGATGCGCCGCGAGGCTGAGCGCCGCTCCCCGCAGGGCACCTGTGGCTGTTCCGCGACGCGGGCACGCACGACGGGCTGCTCGTCAACCGGCAGGAGCTGTTCGTGGCCGCGCCGGACGTCAGCAAGGCCGACATCACGCTGCCAGGTGCGGGGCGCTGCGGGGCGGAGGGGGAGCGCGGCGTGCGGGCTCGCGTTCGCCGCTGGGGAAGATGCGCGGCTAACGCTGCGGGCCGCGTCCGAAAATAACGTTTGGTAGCTGGGAAGCGCTCTGTCCGCCGGCGCTACTGCGGCCCTTCTATCCGCGGCACTTAACGCGGAGATGGGTAGGACGCGGTGCTTTCGGAGCGGCCTCGCGCGCTCTGAGTCGCGCTGCCGGGGTCGTTGTGTCCTCCCGTCCCGGGCGGCGCCCCTCGCAGCGCGGTGCCCAGCCGCCGCTGCCAGGCTCCCCGCTCGGTCTGTTTCCCCGCAGTGTTCACGCTGAAGGAGCGGTGCCTGCAGGTGGTGCGCAGCCTGGTCCGGCCGGGGGATTACCGCAAGCTGGACATCGTGCGCTCGCTGTACGAGGAGCTGGAGGATCGTCCCGACGTCAAGAAGGACCTGCAGCGGCTCTCTGTGGAGAGAAGCGAGATGTTACGGGAGGAAATCCTCCACTAAAAGGGCCGTGCGTCCCGAGCCGTGTAGATAGCAAAGCACCGAGCTTAGGAGGAGCAGCCATGTAAAGCGTGCCCAGAGCTAACGTCTGCATTGAAGTTCTGGAACAAACTCAGCCGTACTGTAGAACATTTACTATGCTGGTAGGTCAGATTCCAGAGAGCAAACAGTGTGGGAACATACTGCTTTGTGAGGGCTCTGCTCCGGGTTTCGTGCATTGCTGAGCAGGGACCCCAGTGGCCTGGCACAGATGGGGCTCAGAGAAGTTTGCTTCAGCCTATTTCAGAACATTCCATAGTGACACAAGATTGGGATATCCGTCTGGAGGAAGTGCGTGCAGCTCAACTTCCTCTTTGTTAGAAAGAAAGTTATGCCAAGGATTAACTTAATCCAGACTCTCAAATCAGTGGCAAAGCAACACTAGGTTTGCTTGAATGATTTGGTTTCGGTGAAAATTTGCTCTCTCACGTGCTGAATTTACTTTCGAATCACACATTGTGGGGGGTGTTCGTGTGAGAGCTTCCACGGTTGCCTTCTGAGCGCTGGGCCCAAAACTGTGCTGGCAGAAAGATGACCTAAGCATTTCTGTGTTAGCCTCTGTCTCTGTGTGTTCATAAACCCTCATTGTAGCAACTCTGAAGTTGACAAGTTTTTACGCAGAACATGCCTTGAACGCCTTAATTTGTCCTTCATTACCGAATTCCTGCTTGGTTTGTCTCTTGTCATCCATACGGACTGCATCTTGGTTTTGGGACCCTTTTCTGCTCTGCACCTCTGTGCCCACAGCCTCGCTCCCATACTGGTATATCAGGAGCATTCCCACAAGGTGGGTGCTCTGAGCCCCACCTTTCCCTTGTCCCAGGGATTGGCCTTGAGGAGCACGGTCTGCCTGGCCTGCCAATGCCCCCTCAGCTGCCCCAGCTGCAGGCCTGGCTCCCCCAAGCAGAGCTGTGGTTTTCAGCAGGCCAGCTGCACAGAGAAAAGGATCTTGGCCTGTATGTTCTCTTCCCCCATACCTCAAATACACAGCTGTATGTCTCTGTGTGTAACTCAAAGCAGCACTGTTTTTAGCAGATAGGTGAGTTGTTTCCCAGGTTGCAGGCAGGCGCAGTGCTGCTCAGCATGCAGAGCAGCAGGTTGCTAACAGATAGCAGCAGGCTGTTCTGCAGCGTGAGGTTCTTAAGTATGCAGTGTCTGACCTTCTTGTGGACTTGTTTTTTCTTAAATGTTTGTGTATGAACTGGTCTTTGTTTCTCATTAAAATGTAAATCCATGTTAACTCTTTGACTCTAATGTTGTCAGATAACTTTGCAATGGTTGCAACTGCACATAGGCTCATGTTCCTGAAATGCCACTTGTGGATGCCGTGGGATTGAGCTCAGTTGGATTCACAACTACCATGAGAGCCGTGGGGAGCAGAACCCCACGTCCCACTTAGTGCTGCTGCGGGGCAATGAGAGCAGAGCTGCAGGAGCTGGGACACGGGCACAGGCGCACAGCTCCTGTCTGCTACTGTTACTTGAAAGTGAGGGCTGTGTAGAATTGTTTGTGCCTCAGTTTGAAAAAGTGATTTTCAGTTCCCGTGTGAACCTTCTCACTGCATACAGCAGCAGTCAGAGCCAAAATGAAGTCACAAGCGCAGATAGGTGCCATTCTAAACGGCGGTGCACCCGTCACGGACCTTTATTCACCCTTGTTGTGGTGAACGGCTCCCAAGTCTCAGTTCTGCGCTGTTCCCGGTGCGGGGAGCAGCCCGGCTGCCTCGGGGCGGAGCCGGCTGTGCGGGCAGCCGTGGCTGGCGGTACAGCTCTCGCTACAGCCTGAACAGCAACACGCAGAGCGTCCTTACGATGCGGTGCTTTAAATAACGGTACGCTGTGGGTTTGTTGACGCTTCGGCCGCGGTTTCAGCGGATCCTCGGCGCGGGGTGGGAAGCGAACACGTTCGTGGCACCGCGAGGTTCGCGATTCCCGAGGCGCGGCGCACGGAGCCGCCCCGCAGAGCGGAGCTCGTAACGCAGTCGCTCCCGCAGCGGGGATCCACCGCCCCGCCCCGCGCAGCCCGCAGGAAGCCGCGCCCCCGCGGCAGGAGGAAGCGCGGGGTGCCCCTCCCGGCCGGCGCTGCGTGGGGCCACGCGCGGCAGCTGATGGCCGCGGGCGGGCCGGGGCGCCGCGAGGAGATGGCGCCGCCGTCGCCCTACGTGCACAGCATGCCGGCCTGGGTGCTGGAGGACTTCTGCCAGAAGATGGACTGCCTCAGCGACAGCGACTGGATGCGCTTCGGTGAGCGCGGCTCCCCGGCTCCCCCCGCCGCTCTCGGGCCCCGCGCCGGCCCCCGCTCCTCTCCGCGTCTCCCGGCCCCCGCCGCGTCCGCTCCGCGTCTCCCGCAGAGCCGCCCGGTGCCCGCCGGTGATAACGCGCCCCCCCCGCTGCCGATCCCCGCCGCCACCCCGCGGCCCTTCCCGTCCGGCCGCTGCCGGCCGCTGCCACGACGGGCGTGTAACCGGAGCCGAGCGGCGCGCAGCGTGCGGGTGAGGGCGTTCAGGGGACGGTGACAGCGCGCTGAGCGGTCTGAGAGAGGTTTCTTTTTGGGTCTCCACATAACAAACTTTTTTTTTTGAACGTTTGAAAGAATAAAAATAATATCCTACTTCCAGGAACTGGATTTTCTTCATGTCCGCATAGCTAACGTGTGGCGGTCCCTGCTTTTAAAATCGAATGGAAGAAGCTTTGTGTGCACGCGTGCACCGTGCCTTCCTGCCTGCCCTCGCTCTCTCCCCGTTGCTAACAAAGCCGTCCCGTCTCCCGCAGCTTCCTACGTGATCACTGACCAGACCGAGCTGCGGAAGATCAAATCCATGGAGAAGACGGGGATCAGTATCACCCGCGAGCTGATGTGGTGGTGGGGTGTGAGGCTGGCGACCGTGCGGCAGCTGCTGGACCTGCTGCAGGCACTGCAGCTCTACCGGGCGGCTCAGGTCATCCTGGACTGTGAGTAGCACCTGTGAGCAGCCCGGCTCTGCGCCCGTCCCTGTCTTCATTGTGCAGGCTGAAGGAACTCTTTGCTGGGAACCTTGTGCTCAAATTGTGAAGTCTCTGCTGATTCTTATTTTCTGCTCATGGTGGGAAGGGGAGAGCTGACATAGACGAGGTGCCACTGGTCTGTCACCCCAGCCCGTAGTGTCTCTTAGGTGCTTCAGGAGCTGCCAGAGCGAGGCTGTGCTGTGCGTGAAGGATGGCTCCGTAACACATCCTTGTTTTACCACGAGCTGAGTTGTGAACGTGTGAATTTTTCATACGTCCTTGTTCCCCACTGAAATTCTGCCGTTATACATTAAATGCCAACAAACTCATGGCAGAGAAACCTATCAGCAGTTTTGCTTATGCAGTCTGCTTTCCTGCGCTGTGAGAACGTTCCCCAAAGAAGTGCTTTGCTCAGTTCACTGTTCTTGCTTTGTCCTGTTTGCTGTATTTTGGTTACTTTTCTGAGTTGGATGATGACACTTTGAAAATGCTGTATCTAATTAAGGCAAACCATTGCCCTGTAGAAGTCACAGCACTTTTAAATATAACTTGCAGTTTTTCTCTGTTGAAATCAATGTTTAAATGGCTGCCATCCATTTTCATAAGCCAGAGGGTACCTTAGCTCAGGTCTGTTTGGGATCTGTGAAACCCTGGACAAGACGTTCATCCTTCCTGCACTGGGCTGTCCTGGCAAGATGACAGCAGCCTATGCTCCCCTCTTCACATATTACCACCCAAAATCCACTTTCTTGGGAAGGAAGTGTTCGTGTGACTTTTGCCTGTTCTCCATAGACACTTATGAGAAAGAAAAGTTAGAGGTTTATGTGGAAAAAATGATCAGAGAAGTACAGTGCAGGTGCACATGGGTACTGGGCACAGCTGACAGCAGTGCGTGCTGACAGGAGATGGGAGGTGTGCGGGGCAGCACCCGCACGCAGCTGGGGAGGAGGCTGAGTTCTGCCCTGAGCTGCCTGTGGGCAGGGCTGGCAGCACACACACACAGCTGGCACTCAGCGACAGGCGTTGCTCATGGAAATTCCCACCGTGTGTCACAGTTTGCTTGCCACTGCAGTTCTTTATATAGCACAGCTGGGTTTTTTGTGGGTTCCTGGTGTTACTGCAATTTAGAAACTTCATTTTAGGATGGCAAACAAAAAAACTTTGAGGAGGGTATTCTGAATTTCTGTTCATTAAAAAGGGATATTAAGCGCAAGCGTGCTTTAAGCAAATTCCATCTCTGTAAATGAAACGCCACTGCCACCCACCCTAGCAGGAGTGCTGCTCCGCAGAGCCGGGCTGTGACAGCCCTTCGTTCAGCAGAACCGCTCTGGCTCAACTCAGTCACCCCACTCAGGAGATGGTAACAATTCTCTCACTCCTCAACGGAGCTACAGGAAAGTGAATTTTCATCTGCCCCAATGAGTATGGTAGTAAACCAGTTGTGAAATGTGGCTGTGAGGTCCAGCCTGAGTGGACGGGATTGAAAACAACGTGAAGAAACTGTATCTGGAGCTCTCCGACACACTAAGCCTGGCTCCTCAATAATGCTATTTTTACAGATGCTTTGGAGTAGCCGGTGGTCTCCACACTGTGGTAACTGTTTTCTTCTGTGCCCATTGTATATCTCACACAGTCCACAGAGAGTTTCTGGGTGCTGCTGTGTACATGCTGCAGCCGGCTGCTCCTTCAGCTATCACTGTTCTGCCTGGCTGCAGCACTCTCAGGCCCGCCTTTGTTTGCAGCCGGCTCACTTTGGTGTGTTCCTTAATTTGGTGTGTTCACTGATTTGCTGTAATCCCACCCTGTATGCCGTGGCTTAATCAGAAAAAATCTGCACTCACCTTCTGAGAAACAAAAAACACCCCTTTGTTTCTGGTTTCCTTTGTGACAGGAGGATCTGTGAAATCAGAGCATTCTATGCAGGGTGGTGCAAGGAGCTGGAAGTGGGTTTGGTTTTCAGTTCTGTTGGGCACTTCAAAAAGCCACTGTTCTAACTCCTGACAGTTACTGCGTTACCGTAACACTGTTCAGTCTGACTTACAAGACTCAGACAGGACACCCAGGTGAATGTTTTGCTGGCAGATTACTTGCAGGAGAGTTGTTTCTCTTGTTTCTGCCTTCGACAATTTCTTGCGCAACTCTAGTCCCACTTCTGGATATCTGTTGGAACAAACTTTTTCCTGTGTTAGTTCTTTAGTTTCAGTGGTGACCTGTTTGACTGATGTGCAGGAAATTGCAAAATTCATGAAAAACCATGAAAAATAGGTTAAAAGAGGGAAGTGATCCAAGTAGAGGCTTCTAGGTTAAAGTACCGGCAGGGGAAGGTCAGCATTGCAGAACACAGGGACTGCCATTTGGAACGGAAGGCCTGCAGACTGCTTGAAACTCAGTGATTTCCAAAACCTGTGGTGTTTGTGATCTCACAGCATTCTGGTGCTTTAACAAAGAAACAGAGCTGATTTTTCGTTCAAACCTGCGTTCATATGTGACACTGAAAAACAATTACACGAACTCCAGAAGGAAGTCAAAGGAAAAAGCTTGCCTTACGCAGGCGTGCTCCCATCTCCGGTCGAAGCTGCAGTGCACTGGAATTGTCATACCTTGCCTTCTAAGCTTCACTTCTACTGAAAGTGGTTTACGAGGAGCACAGATGAAATTAAAACTCCAGCTTCCTTCTGGCTTCACATATTCCCAATGCTTTGTTTGTGCACAAAGAACACAAAGCTATTGTCTGATTTCAAATGCAGAGTGCTGTGGCTTTTACTTATGATGACAAGCTGATAAAACAGCACAACAAAAAACTTGTATTGGTACTTGTGCTTATTTTCTTTCATTTCAAAAGATTAATTTATATTTTTATGTAAATGTTACATATATTGCTGATAAAAGATACCAGGTAGAAACAAGAGTACAGAATTAAAACCAGGAAAATGTGGTTAATAGGCACTAGAAAGTTTTTGTGTCATCTCTGGTGCACACAGCATTTCCAGGCTCCTCCTCCCCCTCATTTACCTCTCGCAGACCAGAATTCAGCTGCTTTGTTGGGAGGTTTTGACAGCTCTGCGTAGCTCTGCGTAGCAGAGTGTCTTCATATCTTTTTATTTCCAGTTTGTTCCTGTCCCAGCTGTAGCCTAATCTGATTTTAAAATTTCCTTGTGAGATGTATGTATTCTTCAAGTCTGAATTTAAATACCAGTGCTACTGAAACAATTTAACAATAACTGTAAAGCATTCATAATGTTTGTTTTAATGGATAGTCCATTTTCCTGATCAAAGTCTGATCAGAGTCAGACTTCCTTCTGCATGGTACTCCTCACCTTTCCTTTGATCTCCTTTGCAGGGATATCACCCTCCAGCATTACCACCTCTGAAAAAGAAGAGCTGATAGAGCCACCTAAACAGGAGAACGTATCTTTAACTCCCACAGAAAACAAACACAAAGAGAGAGAAAATGAGATAAGTCTGCTGCCATCGCCAGAGCCTTCACAACCAGGAATATCACCAGCATGTAGTAAGTAAAACAATATAATCCGATTTTCTGTAACAATGAAATGATCGTATAGACAAGAATGCTGAATTTCACTTTAATATAAATGAATGTTTTGAACGGGATGAATGAACGGGAAATATAAATTCCCGTTCAAAATGGTCCCAATTGAATATTTGCCTTTCAACTAGCACTACTGTCTCCTGAGCTGTCAATTCCTAGCTTGATCACACAGCCACCTGTTCTTCCTTTCTGTACCTGTCGTGGCTGTGAGAGAAGTACTTCACCCAGGTCTGTGTGAGCACCACTGCCATGCTAACACTACAGCTGTGCATACACTTCATGCCTCAGTCCTTCTCTCCACACAGCATAAGTCTGGGCCAATGGAGAGCTGTGGAAGCATCAGCGAGCAGCTCTGTTGGGAGATGGAGCAGAACCACAGTGTGCTGAGGAGAGCATGTGAGCAGCAGTGCAGGCAGAGGCTCTGAAAGCTCCGTGTCCCTGAGCCAGGGCTGGAGAGATCTTCACAGTCATCGCACAGAGGAACCAGGGCAATAGCTCCATGTCTTTAGACAGCATTTCACGTTTTGACAGCCATAGGTTATGCTTGGTTAGGCATTTCAGCAAAACATCCTGGATGCTCACAGTGAGTCAGCGGCAGCAATGTCACAAAAAAGAGGTGTATTATCAGTGCTGCTAATTCAATTTCAGATGCTGTTTCTGAAGGAACCTTGTATTCACTTCCTTCTCCACCACCTCCCCCAAGAGACCTTTTGAAATCCTTACAGTCAAATCCTTCTGTTTCATCAAGTGTGAAGGTAAATTCCTTTAGTTCTCATTGATTATAACAATAAGAATTTGCTTTATGACATTCTGTGTTTTTCAATTAAAGTTTACTCTTCAACTTTATGTTTAGACTGAATATAGTACTAATTACTTACATTTCGCTTCACTTCTTTTTTTCTTTTCTTTTTTGCCAACAAGAGACCAGTGAAGGATACATTTAACAGGGCTACATGGCTTAGCATGGCTAACATGCCCATGAATAGCAATTAATTTTGAAGGAATTTCCATTATAGATTTTGCAGCAGACTCCAATATTTCTTATGGGATCGTAGGACAGTCCAGCATAAACGACTGACTAGTTGCAATGTCACACTTTTAGTTTAAATTTAAAATGTGGTTTCTGCTGAAAACTGGGCTAGTGTCGCATTGAGGTCAGGTTGCCCAGAGCCTTATCTAGTTGAAAACTGAAAATCTGCCATCCCTCTGAGCCCCATCCCAAGGCCCAGCCATCCTGCTGGGAGCTGTTTTGCTCATGCTCCTGATGATTTCAACATAGTCTTCTGTTATTCCTCGCTATAGCTCTCTTATCTGCAAGACCATCTAGATGGAACCATCCTGTACTTTTTCAGAGTGTGTTTCCCAGATCCATGTGTGCACTCTGGTCCCATCCTAGTCCTGCATTGACCTCTTTTTTTTTTTTTTCTAAAGAAGATTGTGCTTTAAGACTTTTAACTCATCCAAGATGATGTGGTTCAAGAGTAACAACAATAGGAGAAGGTTGCTACAAAGAACACAGTAATTTCAGAATTTCCTGAGGGGGAGTTAAGGTTTTGTTTTCTCAGGTCTGGAGTAAATTAAGGTTGTGAAAGCTGTACGGTTATGTGTAGGCTATAGTGGAATTGTAATAACAAGTGTCATTAGGACTTGTCTGACTGGAAGCAACTATTTTGCAACCATTTCAGAAGTAGCTGTGCAATTCTTAGGAGAAAATAAGTACATTACAGCACGAGAGACACTCCCTTCTGATCCAGTACCATGATATATGCCTCAGGCATAGAGACTAATGGGCTTTGTGGCTTAAACTGATGTCACTTCAAATACATATAAGGACTTTTAAAGAAAACTAACTTTGTTGTTTGGGAAGGATGGAAATGCAGATTAGCTGTTTTCAGGTGTCTTCTACTGTGAAGAATATTTCTATCAGCAAGACAAATCAACACAGGTATTACAAAGGGAAACCGCACCGAGTGTTGCGCAGTACCTGTCACAATTTCTTTGAACAATCAACTCTCATTAGCTCATGGAAAAGAAATATGATGCCTGAAAGAGATGGAGAAAGCATACAAATGTTTATGAGATTAACTTGTTCTTCTTCCAATGTGTAGCCCTGCAGCTCTTCTACTCCTCAGCAGGAGACGATGACTGATCTCCCCAGTGGGAGCCTTTTGTGGACCCAGAAAGAAGTTACTAATGCCACAGATGGCTTCAGTGACAAGAGCAGAATTTGTGAAGGCACTTTTGCAGATGTCTACAAAGGTCAGAGGCACAACATGGTGTATGTCATCAAAAGACTGAAAGAGGCAAGTGCTCCACTTGTTTTTCTTTGCAGGAGGTATTTTATTAGAACCTCTTAAAACATTGTCATTTAATATTCTGTGGGCAGAGAACAAGAACTGCTATAAAAAAGGAGAAGTAAAAGAAAAATTAGGTTAGTAAACCTAGATGCAGCAAACATGTATGTGAGCTTTTCCTCACGTGGATAGTTCAGTTCACTGTATCTGTGGGAGTAGCCCCATGGATAATAGGATCAGAAATGTCTTCATGCCAGTTTTTGTTCTAATCTATAGTTGTTGTCTGTGACACAATATCGTCATCAGTGCAAACAGCCTGTTTGCTAAAGTTGTCATCCAGAGAGTAAAGGGCCCGTAGGAGTGCAGCACCTCAGTAATTACTGTTGAGATTCTATTGCATGTTTTTTTCTTTTTTTTTTTTTTCTTTCAGACCGAATGCACGAGCCCAGATTCCACCCAAAGATTTTTTCATACAGAAGTACAGATTTGCTTTCGGTGAGCAGTCTGTGTGTCCTGCATGCACTGTGCTCCTGGGCTGTTCAGTCACACTGATGTGTGTATCCCCCAGGCACTGGCCTGTGTTGGGGGTTGTGCCCTGAGGAAGCAGCATACCTGCCTGCCAGAGATGTGCTGTTCCCTGCAAAGCAAGCACTGCCCCTTGACACTTGGAGACAGTGAAGGCCTGGTGCCTCCTGAGGCTTCGTAGCTGCTCAAAACCGGGTTGTGCTATATATAGCCTTGTCTCTGCTGCTAGTGTAGCCTTCTGTGAACCCACTCAGGGCCGTTCTGTGTTTGTGGCTACAGAACAAAATGCAATTCCCAATTGTCTTGAATGTCGGGATTTATTCCAGCTTAAGAATGCATTTTGCTGTGTTGCTCTCATTTCATTTGTAAATCATTGTTGATCTGTGCCTGCAGGTGTTGTCATGTCAACATTTTGCAGCTGCTTGGTTTCACAGTAGAATCTGAGTTGCACTGTCTGATATATCCATACCTGCCTAATGGATCACTACAGAACAAACTTCAGCATCAAGTAAGCAGATAACCTGAGTCCATTATTTATCTATGATTACAAGTCACATTATTGTATGAAAAGAAGAAAGATCTCTGATAATTCTAAGAAACAGACAAAAAGAGCCCAGATGTCTGTAGGTATTACACTCTTTTTCAGTTTTACTACAGCAAAGCAGATCAGGTCAGTAAAAAGCTTCTGCTTTGCAGCCTTCAGATTTTTCAAGTAATAACTCATCTGCAAAACATAGCTATCTATATCATAATATTTAATTGGAATTGGGAATGTGGTTCTCATCATTTTCATTCACTCCTACAACATTTTAGAAGGGCTTACGAGAGAACACTTTGAGGTGTTTGGATCTATTGAAAGAGCATTTGCAGAGAAAGGACAGAAGCGGAAAAGCAATCCACCAAAACCTGCGCCTCTGTGATGGCGTATAATTGATGCTTTGAATAAGCATGATCTTTGCTGTATCCTTATCTCACTGTCGTCACAAGGCAGGCAAAACATGCTGTGCAGCGTACAAGAGTAAGGTCCTTCCTGGGCCTAGAAATCACAAACTCTGCCTTGGACAAAACTTTTGATTTAGGCCAGCTGGCATTTTGCTTATGATTGCAGTGGGACCAAAACAGTCTTTAGAATGAAAATGTACTGCTGCTATATTGTTTTCATTGTTAAAAGAAGATAAAACGACCCCGTTACTTCCTTGCAGGATGATTCTGCTCCACTGGCATGGGAGACACGAATTAGCATTTCTGTGGGACTCGTCCGAGCTGTGGAGTATTTACACAATTTTGGAATTCTTCATGGGAATATCAAGAGGTGGGGGTTTGGCATTACCAGTGCACTCATTAATTCCAGGATTTCTTCAGCAGAAGCACCTGAAAACTTTTATAATGTCGATATCCATTTGCAGTGTCATTCTGCTATCCTTTGTTCTGTAGGATCTTCACCTGATCATGTTTAATTTGTCTCCCTCTTATAAATGATGGAAGTGTTTTCTTCTGAAGCAATGCTTGGAGTGCTTTTAAATCCCCTCTTCTTTTCACCCTGTCTTTACCCTTTCACTGTTACACAGCAGGTCAAATGCTGGAATTTTTCCCCCTCTGACCTTGCCTTGACTTGAAAAGTATAAAACTTCACATCAAGTTAAGGTAATTATTTGACCACTGTTGTCTTTTACAGCTCAAATGTCTTGTTGGATGAAAACTTTACGCCAAAGCTTGGGCATTCAGGTCTGCGACTGTACTCTGCTGATAAAAAGTCTGAATGTACTGTGATGAAAACCACAGTCCTGCAAGCTTCTCTTACTTATCTGCCAGAAGATTTTGTCAGGCATGGGCAGTTAACAGAAAAAGTTGACGTATTTGGCTGTGGTGTGGTAGGTTGCCTTTTTCCATCTTCTGTTGTGGTTGTTGATTTTTGTAGACAGGAAAACGGATGTATGAGCACATTCCCCACATAGCTGTTTGTTCCTGCAATTTCATTCCCAATTGCTAACTATATAACTGAGCTGAGATTCTATTTTTAATTACCTTCATGTTCCAAATCTACTTCAGTTTGTGGCAAAGTGATGTGAATCTTATGAACAATAAAATGGCAAAATGTTGCAAAAAATGTATTACTGTTGGTAGTGTGAGAAAAAGAGTAGCAGAAAGTTTTCTGTTTGGTTCTCACAGTTCTAACAGATTGGCCCCATCTACTGCTACAAACATTGTCAGTTTGGAAGTTCAGCTGAGATAAGAGTTCAAAATGTCACTTGTCTCAGAAGTTTCCATTGTAACAGGAAGTTTCTCTGTTTGGTGTTATTTCCTATATAAATTTATATTGACAGTCTTGTTTTTGAACTTCATTTGGTTTTTTATTATCTGTTGTACCTAACTATAAAATCTGGACTTGACTCTGGACGTAGATTTAAGTTGTCATAAATACTGCCCAAATTTGGCATTGTTAAGTGTTAAAATAAAAATTAAATCTAAAATGCCCTGGCAGTTCAATAGTTCAATATTCCTTTACATACAGACATTTAAAGACAGAATTTATTGTGAACAAATTCTTTTATCTGTCAAATAAACTTTTTAGGTCTTAGCAGAGATACTGACGGGAATTAAGGCACTGGATGAAGGAAGGAGCCCTATTTATCTGGTAAGGAAATAATGAACACTGACACGAGTGAACGAGGTTGCTGTCATAAGGTGGATTTACATTTTACAGAAATGCAGTTTGCTTTACACAGCTTAAAGAAGAGATTTTCTAGAAATTATAGCGTGGTTCCGTTAACGTCAACAGTTCATCACCTTTAGACATGAGTAGAGTATGTATTCCCACTTCACACAGCAGACTCATGAGCACTGGCCTTGCTTATGTTAGGAGATGCTGCAGCATAACTGCTTTTAAGCACATTCTTATTTTCACACTTCGTGCTGAAATGCTGCTGTAGGCTTTTTGAGTGTCAGGAAGGTGTGTTACAAGTCAGACTGAGTGGGGAATATGGGTGGGCGCTGACTGCAGTTGCTCATTACCATGTTTATCAGGCATTTAGTATTACACTGGTGTCTGGAATTTGTATCCTGGCCAATTTGTCCAGGCTGTCATTAGAACTACGCAAACTGCTTTCACGAGCAGCCAGAACTGTCCAGGCTCACTGAATACCATTAACACCATCTTCATAAAAACAGACTCCACCTATAATCCTTCTGTGCAATGCACTCCTTCTGGTTTGCCATGTTGTTGAAGCCTTTGAGAGGAAGATGATAGTTTTCAATAGTTCAGCAATGTCCAAATAGCTTCAGGAAACAAAGGATCCCGGGTTTCTGATTTCTTTTAATAAATATTTTTAAAAGTTCTGTGCAAAAATGCTGCTATGTGCAGCGTTGACGATTTTTCATTCCTTTAGGTAGGTATAAGCATAGAGCAGCTGGGTTTGCTTTAGGTAATTTAACATCAGACACGTGCAAAGAAAAATCTTTGGCCATTTCTCTACTGTGAAAGCAACATTTCTGTGACTTGTACAAAAGGAGATCACTTACAGTTTTTGGATCTGTAAACCAGCTGTTAAGGAGCAGTAATAATAAGCACATAGGAAGACTTCTGTTCTCAGTGATTTAGATGGAATTAAACATTGCTATTAATCTTGTCTTCACTAACGTACCTTTCTCCTTTAAATAGAAAGACACGATTGCTGATGAAATCCAAATAGCAAAAGAAAACTCACACTCCAAAGTCAAGAATTTGGAAAAGCTAGCTGCCAAGGAAATATGCTGTAAATACCTGGACAAGAAAGCAGGACATTTGCTGGAAGAGGTTGCTATTGATTTTGCCTCAGCCATCTGCCTTTGTTTGAGAAAAAAGAATTCTAACATAGCAGAGGTAATATTTTAACAATCTGACCAAGAATTTAGCCTTCATGACAGCAAGGTCTAGAGCTACAACGTTTGTTGCCCCAACTTTTTTGGACCGTTGATAATGTGTGTAACAAGGGGTACAGGGATTCTGTATTCACAGATTTTGTTGTTTTAAAACAGGTGCTTGAAATTATGGAAACAGCTGAAAATAAATTGAGAGAGCATTACATCTGTGGAGGCAGCACTTCTGGGTTTTCCATGAATACTCCAGAAGAAACTGATGATGAGACAACCAACCTCAGCATGGATGCCCCTTCTGCAGGGCAGAATAAAGAGGACAGCACGCAGCCAGTACTCCTGGCCAGTGGTGGTCAGTGCACACCTTCAGTAGGAGCCGTGCCACCTAACGCTCACTGTTTGCAGATGTCACGGGTCCCTTGTGAATCAGATGAATCAATGAGTTTCATCTGGAACCCTGAAGAGAAATCTACAGATGATCTATTCAGCAACAACTGTAACAACTCAGAAAGTATTGCGAGCTCTGACTGCAGGGTAAAGGAGAAAACAAAAGCAAACGGACTCCGGGAAAGAAATGTAGTATGCATCAGAAGTGTTGACAACTTGGAAATGGCTGCTACTGCACAAAGCACATTTCAGTCAAAAAATGCAGACCTTGACTCTGCATGTTCATCCCAAGGTAAATGTAGATAAGTCTGAGGTGTGGGTGCAGAACATTCTGGCATGTGATGGTTCGGGTGCTTTGGCAGAAGTGTCCGTGCTTTTCTTCTGAGTCTTTACAACAGTTTGGGCCCTAACTTCTTGCTTATGATTTTATCAATAGATCTACAGAATGTTTTCTGTTTCCTCTCTGTTTTTCTAAACCAGATTTTTAATTTAAAATTGCTGTCTGTGCCTTAGATGCAGATGCATTTTTTTTCTCAGTATTTGGAATTTTTTGTTTTTCAGTGTTAGCCAGAGAGGCATCCTGGAAAATAAAAATAAATGACCAAAAAAAGAAGCTAATGGAAAATATTTTGCTGTATGAAGAAGACAAATTAAGCAGTTCTGAACTTTTTGATTCTTAAACCAGATGGATTTATTAGCTGTGACCAACTTATAAGAAAAAATAAGGACTGATTCTTCATCAGAAAGATGGTAAAAGTATACTTCTCCTTGAAGTCTGAGTAGCGGGTTTGGATCAGAAGCATTATCCTTCTCTGAAGAAAAGTGATGGCACTGAGAAGAAACAGAAAATATCTTTCCTAAAAGAAGCTGAAGCTCAGCGCAGCTCTGCCAACAGAAATGCCTTCTTTCTTCTCATCTGCATTATAAAAAGATTTAAGGTCCTTTTCTTGTGTATTTCAAAAAGTATCTGCAGATAATTGGTGTCTTATTAAAATACCACAGTCCTAGAAGTTACAGAGCAACCACTGATCCACAGGTGGTTAGCAATGCCCTTTATTACAGAATCACAGAACTGTAGGGGTTGGAAGGGACCTCCAGAGATCATCGAGTCCAACCCCCCTGCCAAAGCAGGTTCCCTACACCAGGTTGCACAAGAAGGCATCCAGGTGGGTCTTGAATGTCTCCAGAGAAGGAGACTCCACCACCTCCCTGGGCAGCCTGTTCCAGTGCTCCATCATTGTATATGAGGAGACAAATCTTTGATTGGAGAAGGTTTCAGTTTTCAAATGATCTATTTCATATACTCTTTGTATACCCAAAAACGCTCTGTTAGCAGAGAAAAGAATTTCTATGCAAGTTCTCATACATAGTCTCTGTGTATGTCAATCTCAATTTGAATTGCACTGAAAATAGCTGTAAGTAAATAACTGAAGACACATTGATCTACTGTTGGCTGCTGTACCAGCTATATGCGTTATGTCACAGATGTCTAAGCAAGTTTCGCTGTCAGGAGCTATAGGACAGCAGTTAGCACTTCATAGGGTGTCTCTGAAAGTTGTTTTTCTTCCTAAGTGTCCTTTAAACATTGTTAAGGCTTCACATTGTTGTGTTTCACCTGGTGACTCCTATACATTTTGGTTTTAATTTAAAATGTTCTCAATTTTATCATCAGTCAGTTGAAATTTGATTAGTTGTATTTATTTTGGCAATGGATAAAACAGTCACAGATGAGCCATGAAGTGGGCTGGCTCCTGCAGCCTCACAAAGCCAGCTGTGTTATTCTTTCCTTTGCTCCGTGTTAATCTTAAATGTATTCTGAGGTATGGAACCTTACCAGATGTTTATTAAGTGCAGTGTAACACAGCTAATATTCTGCATAGTCTTAGAGTAATGGTACTCTTATGTTGGCTATTTGATATAATGTTTTAATCTCAACCTGACAAATTTATACTTCATTAATAAACTTGGGAATAAAAAACAGAAGAAGCCCTGTCTCTGTAATCCAGCTTTCTCACGATTCATAGCACAGAAAACCGCCTTTCTGCCGCTTTCTGAAGCACTGCGTGTGCGTCCACGGGGAAGCAGCCCCGCTGCACACAGCCATTAGCGATTGCAGCAGCGGTGTAAACACGCGCATCCACGCTCACTAAGCAGTTTTTCTCTCAGTGATTGCTGGGATAGGTTCTGGTGCCGCCCATTACCCGCGTGCTGCTGTCCGCTGAACGGCACCGCAAGAGGGAGAGCGGCCGAGCGGCACGGCACGTATCACAGCGCCGCGGGAGACGACGAGAGCCGCCGGCCCGGGGCGCTGCGCTGTGCTGCCGGCTGGCAATGCTCCATCGCGCTGCGGGGCGCCTCGGTACCGGCGGCCAATCACCGCACACCGCTCACACCACACAGGTCAATGAACGCCGCTCGCGTTTCGCGCGCTGTTCCGCACGACGGCCCGCCCCGCGGCGCTCCCCGCACGTGAGACAGGTACCTCTGTTTTCTGCAGCCTGCTGCAGCGCTCCCTGCGCTCCCACAGCCCCTCCGGGGCCCGAGCACAAAGCCGGGCCGGCCGCCACCGCTCCCCGTCCCGTTCCCGCGGAGCGTCGCTAAGGCGGCCCGAGCGGAGCGAGCGGCACGGCGGGCTCTTTCTTCCCGCCCTTTTCGGAGCGAGTTCAGCCAATCGGCGCCGGGAGCGGTTCCGGGCCGCCCAATGGCCGCAGCGGCCCGCCCGGAGGTCCCGCCCACTGGGCCGTCTCCTCAGGATTGGCCTCGGCTCCCGCGCTTTCCGCTCTGTGAGGCCGCGCCGCCCTCCCGCCGGCGGCACGCGGCGGTGCCGTGCGCTTTGGTCTGCGGCGGACTTTTCTGTACCTCCTTATGGGAAGGTACGTGCGTCCGAGAGCGCAGAGCTTTAGGCACAGTTTTCTACAAAGCTTCCCTCGTCCTTCAGGGGCAGAACCGCGGCACTGCGGGGCTCTCCGTGTGACGGCCGGGCGGTGGCCGTGGCGCGCTGGGGAAGCTCTCCTCGGCGGGAAGCTGTGTGAAAGCACCTCGCAACTCTGTGCAGGAGTGCAAGATTCTGTGCAACAGAATCGCTTTCTTTTTTGCAGCAAGTTTGGGTTTGCTGCTGGCCAACTGACTGCTCCAGGCTGTAGGAAGTCATCTCGAACAGCTGTGGGATGCCGCGCTCATGTTTCATTCCAGGCAGCAGCGGGGCGCGTCAGACCTGTCAGCCGTGTGCGGGCTGTGCGCTGCCGGGCTCTGCCACCCTCTTGAGGCCGATGTTATATCTGCTATATAGAAAATGCTGCGTTTAGGTCGTTGGGGAAAAGGTGGTGATTTTTTGCTCCTTTTAGGGGCTTGTTTGGTTTCCTTTGTTGTTTGTTTGGAGCAGCCTTCAAAGAATGCTGCCCGCTTAGCCAGATAACGCAGCGTGACAGCCTCGCCTCGATTTTGATTCAGAAGACTAAGCAACCCCTGCTTTGTTCCTCTGCAATCCTCTACAGTTCTGTCAGAGCTCTAGAAACAGCCCCTGCTGCGGTGCTTCCTTTTCAGGGAAGGATTTATGCGTTGTCTCTGGCCAGGGGTTTCCTCACTGTGCTGTCGGGAAATGTATTGGTTGACTGCTTTCATGGAACACACTTGGAAAGCATTAAATATTTTTCAGAGAGAACACCAGTAGAACTGTGTGCCAGTGTGACTTCAGCGTTCTGACTTTTCCCTTTCATAACACTTCTGCAGGCTGTGAACCTGAGGAGTCCACGTCAGCACTCTCAAACAGGACTAACTGTGCACTGCAAGATTGCACACCTGAAAAACCTTCTGTCCCTACGTTTTGCTCTGCTACAGGCAATCATTAGGCATGTGAATGACTTATGGAGCTGCTCAGCAAATGCTGGTAAGATCTGGGGATTTGTTCTGTAATGAGCAGGAAAACCATTACACACTTTCTTCTGATTGTGGTACCAAAATGTTATGGCTATTTGAATTGGTGTCAAGCATTCTAAGTATATTTGTTTTCTAGTTGTCTTGGAAATGCTTACTCCTTTTTAATTAGTTTTCCCCTTTGCCTGTACATCTCATTTGGCTTCTGGTGGTATAATACAAGGTACTGCTAGTGGTATCAAAGGAATCAGTTCACCTGGGCGATAAATTCTGTCAGGAAAAGAGAACGTGCCTAAGAACTGAGCCTTGCGGCTGTGTTTATCACATTAGCCTATCCTGGGGTGCTTTACAAAACGTCTTCAGGGCATCAAATCATGGATTCACAAATCTCTTCATGGGCATTCATGTTGGCATTTCTGAGCACATAATTGCTTATTTACAGAAATGAACGTGTGCCACAGTGGTGTATGCACTTGTAGCATGAAAATATACCTTGTTTTTCTGATATCTAGCACTAGGACGGGTATGATTTTGAATCTGAGTAAGTTAACTGGAAAATTGATTTTATTTTAACTGGAAGAGATATTGGGTGGTTTCCTTGATAATCATGTTAACACATCCCTTGAGAATTAAGCAAATTTGGTGACTGAAAGTTGATTCCAGTACACCTAGTTTGCAGTTCATTACATGAGCCATCTAGTTTGAGATACTCTTAAAAACAAGAAATGGTCGCAGTTTCAGCAAAAGCTTTATTCTCTGTTACAGATGTCTGCAGAAGCATAAGATGGAGTTTCCATCAGCTTCAGAAAGGATTCATACAGCTTTCAAATATGTCATTTAAAATAATCACAGTAGATACTAAGGAAGGAAATAAAATAAGCCTACATGTCAGCCTGTGATTCACATTGCCCTTTGAAGTTTTGCTTGTAGATTCTTGTCTTTTTTTTAGAGCAAACTACTCAAGTTCATGTCCTCCTTTCTTCTTAGAGATGTAAATTCAGTTCATTTTAAAGTAAAACTCAAATCAGACCACCTAGTGCTGTGGATGTCCTTCAGCTTGTTTTAGTCTTTTGTCAGAATTTCTAAAAAGGCAAAAGATAGGTAGGTTATTTTGAAAATCTTAATATTTTTTCTGAAAATCCCCTTTTGCCAGTCTGTCCAGAAGTGCCTCAAGCACCCAAATGAAGAAGGATAAAGCTTTTAGGAGGTTACATTCTGCTGGGGCATGCATGCATAAAATTGTCTTATTTGTGTAATGGCCATAGAAACGGCCCTACAAAAGGAATTCAGAGTGTAGAGAGAAGTGCTTAGGGCAATTCTTGGGATCCTGAAAAGCTGGGTGAAAGAAGAAGCCTGAGGTGACTGGAATGCATAATAGAGTTTTGAAGCCTGACAAAACCCTTAAAAGATTTGGAAAGGACAGCTTAATACAGTTGAGTGCAAATAAAGAATGAAGGGCAGTAAAGGTAAAAACAAAACTAAAAAACAGAACAAAAAGAAACAACCCGTTTGTGGTGAGAGTTGGCAATCAGAATGTTATTAGTGAGTCATCTAGAACGATCTTATTTACTCTGCTGTCATTCTTTGAAGTTAAACTAGTGCTTTCTGAACATCAGACACTTCACTTACTCTTAGTGGCAGCTTAGCTACTTAGCCCAGTCATTTCTGAAATGCTGTTCTGACTGTTTCACGTGACAAATGGGACATTTGTGAGGTGGCTTTTGTTTTTTGTTTTAAGTTTCTGCATTTATGACTTGTTTGAAATTACCTTTAGCATTCTCTTCAAGAATGTCCTGTAGCATCTTCTCCAACGCTTGTCCATATTCTTGATACTCTCTTTCTGTTATCTTGACACCAATTTCAAAAGGAACATTAAACTATAAAAACATTAAAGGAGTTTAACAGATGATTTTTGGACAAGGCACTATAGGTTAATTCTGTGTTAGGCGTGACAATAAGCAAGAGGTAGAAAAATGATGTCCATTCATTTAATAGTGCTGAGACATGTAATGATCATCTGATAAACATAGTACATGGCTGCTGCATGATAAAGTGGAGGAGAGAAAACTAGAAGAAACTTGCATTATTACATGTTAGTTCTGAAATATAAGTGAATCCTTAACAGGAGATCATGATCTGCCTTTGAGCAGATACTTTTGAATTACTTCACGCTGTCAATGCTGGCAGTTTTCATGTGTCTTTTAGACCCTTCAAGTTAAATGACTGTGGCTTTCATTTGCACATCTCCTGTGGCAGAAATTGTATTCCTGCTCCAACAAAATAATTTGAATTTGTATGTGAGCAGGAATGAAAAATACACACCTTGATATCAAGGCTGTTATTGTCATCTTCTCCTTCTGTTTCATCTGTATCCCAAAAGCTTTCTGTGCCTCTGCGATGTAATCTTCCTGTTGGTTTTCTTGTATCCTTTTGTTGCTAGAAAGCAAGCAAAATAGCACCTGTATAAAACTCCCATAATCAAATTGGTCTGTTGCAGGGAAAATAGAATTCATAATTAATGCAGATGCAGCAAATTAGTTAGAGCCATTGCTGGCTTCTTTTGAAGTTACGATTAGTTAAAGCTATCAGTGACTTCATTTAAAGTTATGTGGAAGTGTAGGTATACAATAACTGTATTACTATTCTGCATTCACTTTATCAGCAGTTCGTTTATGGGTTCCTTATGGAACAGCCACCTTCCAGTTCATTTTCAAAGTGTAGTTAACAACTTATTTAAACAGCTGCTTTGCATTTGTTTGTGGGCTTTTTTGTTCAGTTGATTGGTTTGTTTCTAAGATTCGTAGTTATGTTTTCTCATGTGAATGGTTTGTTACAGTAATTCTCTGGAATCCCTCCTTCCTCTTCCAGAAACACTATCTTCCAAACCTCTGACCAAAAGAATTTGGCTTTAAGGAATTACAGAGGAAGACAATTTCAAAAAAGCATTATTCTGAATTTTTACCTGTATGTTTTTATATGCGGGGCTTAAAAAACTGGAGCCAGCCAGAGCAGTTTCTGTCCCGAGGATGCTGAGAAGGAGAATTCCTAGCAGAGCAACTCTGAGAAACATGATTGTCCTCATTAGGCGGTGCTTTACTTCTCCTTATTTGAATGATGTGCAATTGTTTCTAAAAACGGATATAAAGAGAAAGCACATTTGTTGCATGCAAAAAGGCAATGTATCCTGTCAAAAGAGATTATTACTTACTGTGTTTTCTTCTATAAATGAGATGTAATAACTGCAGCAGACAGGTTAGCAGAAAGAAATTACAGAGGAAAACTGGTGAAAGCTTAGAAATGCTCTGAAACTTTACCAGGCTACCTTTGTTGCTTCACCAAACTGCTGCTTTCTGAAGCACCTTATATAGGAAGTGGGATATTTGTTCTGTGCTTTGCTATTTCTGGAAATGCAGTCTGACGTGTATTCAAATTCCTTGGAAACATGGTGTGCCTGTAAGATAACAGTCGACAAAACCGTGAAAATGGCATACATCTGTTGCTGAGTTCCTTTCTATGTGTAATGAAGTTGTGCAGGGAATTGTATGTTTCTCATTTCATTTTTCTGCTGTGGCATTAAAATCATTCCTTCTAAAAACTAGTAGCTGTAATGGCTATTTTTTGGAAAGGAAAGTCCTGAGCCCTTTTACTGTTATCTGGTGTGGTGTAACAGAAAAGAAGCAGAACTGCATTCCTGGCCTGCAGTAACAGCCACGTCTCTTGTGTTTGCCCCAAGTGTGCTTCCTCTCATCTACATTCTCTTCTGGGTTCTGTCAGATTTCATTGTCTTTTGTAGAAGGACTGAAAGCAAAGATGTTACCTAGAAACATCATTTCTGTTACTTTGAAAATGAAATACTGCACTTTGAAGATGCACAGTGAATAGCTGTAGCAATGTCTGAGGCTCTAGAAAACATCCTGTGAGGATTTTCTTCAAACCTGAGGAAGAATAGGAATGAAGTAGGAGCACACGGTAAAGGATGACAAATTTACACCTTCTGCTGCTTGTATTCTAATTAGACTTGAATGATGTGGCTGATCTGTGGGATTTGTTATATGCTACAGATCACAAACCTTCACTGGTAAGATGGAGGAAGGCAGGAGAAATGTTTGAGATGGGAAGATAAGAAGGAATTTAGTTGAGTCAGATTTGCTGTTGGAAAAATGTAACTCAGAGCATCACTACATGGAGCACCCATCATAACAATGCTCTGCCCAAGGAAGATATCTGCAGGTTTTGAAACTAGGTTTTTTTTTTCTGGGGATGCAGTTCCACATTGTTCTCTTTCGCAGATTCCATGTCTCATGTTACTGCTTCCTAGCTGATTATTTCAAATACTGTGCAGCCATGTTTCAAATCAGATTTGTGGAGTGATCCAATTATTAAAAGAAAATTATTTCTGGAACATGTCCATGGCATCAGCTGACTTGGTAGCACCAAGAAAGGTGGTAGCTGCAGTAGGGCAGCTGAGAACAAATGGAGGCAATGGATCAAATCCCCTCTGCAACAAAGTTAGGTTAAGAAGTTCTCGTAGAGTTAGATCTCCATCTTGACTTTCGTCTGAGAGCTTGCTGGCAGAGAGCACCAAGGAGCACAAAGGAAGTAGACAGTGATGAACCACTGGAAAGCTTCTGGGTCCTAACAGAAGCCCCTTGCATTTTCATGGCACACTGTGGATTCTAGCCAGACTAGGCATTCACTAGCGCTAACAAAGCCATATACAAATACCGTACATGAAAGCTGTCAAGGCAGCTGTCAAGGTAGACCATAGAAATCCCCCATAAGGCCCCTGTGAAAGATTACCAAATACAGCATACCAGGCTTTAACCAATAAGACTTTATTTTGTTGTCTAAACAAAAACCTGAGGTACAATATAGAATTGTGGCTTAAAAAAAAAAAAGTCTTCAAATTGTATTTTCATTTGTTGATGTTCATTAAATAAACAAGTTTGAGATTACTGTAAAGCAAAATACATATGCATTCTGCTACTCTTTTTCATCTTTGGGAACGCATGGAGGTTTTCATGCATCTGGGCACATTACTTCCAGGGAAACTCAAGCACCATTTCAGTACTACCAGAATGTTGTCTACTGCTAACCTGTCACTTGAAATAGTTTTGGCCTTTGAATGGCAGAGCATTTGCCCCTTACACAGATGGGTTCCCATCTGAGTACTTTCATTGCCTGCCTCCTCCTGTTCCTGCTCGAGTGCTTGAAATGTATCCAATTAAATCCAACTCCTAAACCAGAAGGCGGGTTACAATTTTTACAGTGTCAGGGAGTAGCACAAGGCACAGTACTTTGCTCCTCTCTTCATCTTTAATTTAAGGGAATGTCAATTAAGGCTGATTATCAACACATTGTAGCCTCCCAGTATTGATTAAGAGTGCTCATAAAATTGGACAGTTATTTCCCACATTCATGTCCAGTTTGGATAAAACCAGTTCTTATCTGATTTAAGAAACATTGCAAGTCAGGTATAGCGATCACTTCCAGCAGCTGGACTGGTCAGTCTCACATCACTGTTCATTCTGCTGCCCTTCTGTAACAGCAGACACTCCTCCTTGGCCCTTGTTGACATCGCTGATGCATGCCCACAGCCCATCTACTGATTCCTTCCACAGTGTGACCTCAAAAACAGAGCAGGAAAAGGTTTTAGCCTTAAACATTCTCAGTTTCTCATTTTCTTTGTAATGATCACATCACTAAGATGGCGATGGTCCATCAATACAGCAGTGCGTCAGAGCTGTTTTAAGCATCAAATCATTTATTGCTGTTTGCTAAATCATTATCCAGCGATAAAGGGAGTGAGAATTAATTCTGGTGGTAGTATCCCTACAAAATAAAATTAAGCCTACATTTCCAATCAGGACTAAGAATACAATGCATGTAGTTTGCCAGATGTTAGGGTCTTCCTCCCCTTTAGGTAAATAAATAAACAAACCAACCACAAAAAAATCCCACTACTGCATCAAAGGGAAGTCTTTAGCAGCCTTAACTCAAAACAACAGAAGCAAAAATATGACATGCAAGAGCAAACTGAGGCTGCAGTACTTACTTTATTGTCTCCTCCAGACACTGCAAGTATATTTGCAGTAATGGACCAACTCACGTGCCAGACAACATCATTGAACTTGTGCAGCAATTTTGGTGACCATGAATTTCCAGAGGCATCATCGCATGTCCAGATAAACACTCTGCCATCCTATAAAAACAAACAGACTGTGTTGGCTGGCCACGAGTTGGTAACACAAAAACAAGCTTGTTTGCATTTCCAATTATGACTGCAATTACACTGATATGAACTCCAAGTGTGCCTATACGCATATTTGCTGTACATAACGGTCTTTTTTCTTACTAGAGCCAAAAGCAAGGCACAAGTACAGCTCACTCCTATAGAAGTCTCACCTGTGAACAGCTAGCAATGGTGCTTGTTGGCAAGCCTATGGATGGAGCCCAGGCTACATCTCGAACCCAGTCACTGTGTGCCTCCAGTTTCTGCTCTTCTTTCCACTGGCCATCTTCTTCTCTAAAAATACATTTACACGGTTGGAAGGATGGCAGCAGTGCCAGCTGTGCTTTCCACCTACTGTTCTGGGAGACTTTTAATCGCTTTCACCCTCCTGGTTTTATCCCAACAGCACAAAGCACAAACATTCATTACTCTCCACTAAAAAGCTGTATGGCTTAAGCTGACAAAATCCCTTCTAGAGAACAGAATGCAACAGAGGAGAAACAGATTTGGTCTTCAGTTACTGTATGGAGATCTGCTATTCTGCAAATAACAAATGTAATCAAAGAATTAAACAGCCACTTTTCAAGATAAGATTAAGCAGATCTGGCATGAATTGCTATGAGTGTTTCTAAGTCACTAAGTTGTTTCTATTTTTAAAGTACTTTTCTAAAATAGTAATAGTTAAAGATGAAAGCACAGAGATGCTAAAGTATAATTCAAGGTGCTACTAGGGACATTCAGAGACCATAAAGAATGACTTTTTTTTTTTTTTTTTTTTTTTTTAAGTTCTTAAACCTGGTAAGAAAGCACTTACTTCCAGATCTTAACAAGGTTGTCACAACCACCAGATGCAAATCTTTTGATGTAGTTTGGTTTTTGACCAGATGGTTGTTCTATAAGGCTGCCTGGTACAACAGCAGGAGCCCAGCTAACTGCATTACATCCGATCTATATAAGGAAAAAATAAGATCATCACTAAAAGCTGTGGAGAGAGCAAAGGACATCTATGCTGGATGGATAATTAGATGGATAAGAACTTCAGATATGGTCTATTCTCAACTAGGCATTTATTCAGGAAGTGTTAGGTAGCTAAGTAACTGTCTTATGGGCAAATATCATCTTGGAAATGTATACAGTGGAGACAGATTAAAAAAAAAAAAGAAAGAGATGCAAGATGTATGCCATTGCTAAGAGTGAGGAATGCAGAAAGAATCTGTGGGCCCACAGCTCAATTTTCTTTTAATGCAAGTCACCATCATTAACTGCTTAGATACCTGTCAAGTTTTGTTTAAACAAAAAGTCCCACTACTGTGGGAAAACCACAAGTTTTACCCTGCAGTTTTTCCAGCTTCTAGTTGAAGTTTACTCACAGCCAGATTGCAGAAAGCCATTTCCCACTATGTAACTTCCAGCACTGTGTTTAACAATCACTCTCAGATGTATTATCACATGGCTTTCACATTATTTTCTGCTCCATTTTACTTACTGTAAAATATACTTTCTTACTTTGGATTTATTTAAAACAAATTACTTTTGGTTCTGGAAAATGATTTACATTATTTAATTGTATTTCACTATTTTAGCTAGTCTGCACATTCTCTGAAGCATCAACTAAATGCTCATCCAAGGCTCCAACTTACAGTATGTGCATTGCTGATCTTTTTGACTTCCCACTGCCCATCACCAGTGTAGCTCAGTAATGAAATTGCGCCATCAGAGCTCCCGCAGGCCAGTATCAGCCCATAGTTGTGTGGTGCCCAGCAGACAGAATTCACTGTGAGGGATGAGACAGACTGGGTTACAACAGAGCGCTAACTAAAACTGCCTAACCCAATCACTGACTTGTACTAGTGAATGGTCACTAAAAGTGAGCAGCTCTGCAAGCTGAGTCTTAGCATTCCTGAATTGCAGTAAAGACAATTACCACAGTTTACTGAATGATGGAACACTGCCTCTAGTTTTAGCACCATTTTAAGTACTGACCACCAGAACAGCATTTTCAATGAGGTAAATCCTCTTGACTATCCTGTGCAACAGTGAAGAGATATCAATGATCCTAGAACAAAAGCTGACAAGCTGACACAGCATTTAAAGTCTAGATCAGCAACAAAACAAAGGTATGCATCTATTATATACTTATTTTTAACCCGGCTTAGTCTTAGGAGCATGGATCAAGAGTATATTCCAGTTGATTTCTTTGAGAATAAAGAACAATACTGAACAGCAAAGCACTACTTCTTTCTTTGGGCCTTGGCATACTGAACACTTCAGAAACTTCTCAGCTTTGCTTGTAGGAGAACCAATCATCCTAACAAAAGTTTCAACTGGAAAACAAAACACAGCATACTAAAGTTCCTTTTTCCTTTCCTCCTGTAGTGGATACATACAAAGCTATTTCAAGACTTCAGTACCCTACGACCTTGTTTATCCAAAGCTGATTTACTTGTCTTGGTACATACACAGGACAAGTTTGCACAGGACAACTGGTTATCCAGTAGTATGCCATTCTGTAAACGTCCTCCCTGTGCAGAATAGACTTACTGTCTTCTCTCCATTAACTTATCACAATCTGATGGAAGATTTCATCCTTAACAATGATGGATTTATTCCAGTCCAAACCCCATCCTTGTTCCAGTTTCACTTCCCAGTTCCAGACACCACACACCTGAGGAATCATGCCCTGTGTACTCATAGGTCTTTTCCCAAGTGCCATTTTCTTCCTTCCAGATAATAACCTTCCTGTCATAGGAGCAGGAAGCCAAGATGTTTCCGTACATAGGATGAGCCCAGGCAACTTGCCACACTGGACCTTCATGCCTGCAAGAAACAACATTATTTGGAAAAGCTGAGAGAAATGCATTCCTGTTGTGGCAGTTTCAGCTATCACATCACAAACTGGTGTTCTGTACATCACTAATACAATGATATGAAGAATATCAGTAAAGCCAAGATGAATAATAGGGTATGACTGCCAGACAAAGCCATTACCATTGAAAACAATTCCAAACGTTTATCCTTGTATTAAGATTGTGAGTTTAATTCTATAGAAATATAGATGTTAAGTAGGCAATGCATCAGAAAGTCACAGCATTTCTTCTAACTGCCTCTGCTCCCCCTGGAGGCTCTGAGCAGTTCTTTAGAACAATGAGCCACAAAGAACCGCCCGGGAGAATTTACCACACATCCTAAGTCACCGAAAGGCAAAACAACAAAATGTTAAAGACTTGCAAAGAACATCATCTTTTAAGACTATTTACCCTCTTAGGTCTGCAATGAGGATTTGCCCTCCATTCCGAACATCAAAGATTTTCACAGATCTGTCTGAAGAACAGGTTGCCAGCCGAGTGCCATAGTAATCCATCTGTGCATCGTGCTGCAAGGCAACACAGAAGGTGCTGTTGGTCCACGCAAGCTCTGCTTTCTTAATAAAACATCATTACGTTTTGGAAGTAGCTCTAAGAACTGCAAACAGATCACTGAGTCCCAACATGACAGGATAAGGGG